TAACTGGCAATTTGAAGACTTAAGCTGTGAAACAACAGCAATTATCAGCAGAGAATTTGTAAGTTGACACATATTTAGTCAAGATGACTTTCCATAAGTCAGAATCACATTATCACAGTGCTCCCCATACTATATTTTAAGCCCTTGCTCCAAAGGGAGCAACTAAAGTCTTTTATCAGAACTGCATTATATTTAACAGGGGAATTTTGTTTGTGCATTTCATTCTGAGGCATGTGTCTATGACTTTTTGTTGTTGTTGTTGTTTTTGTTTAATTTGGCACAAAGGTTCTGAATCATGAGTCCTTACAGATGTAGCTACATTTGAAACACTGCACTTCTCTTGCCACCTTCCCACTGCACATCCTTCTGTAGGAGATAATCATTCTTCAGCACTCATGGAGGCACCAGGCTGGTGGGTGGTGCAGCTAACTCTGCAACTTAACAGTGATTTGAAAGGAGAAGAAAAACTTAAACACTCCAATTACTGAGATTCCAGTTGATGCAAACGTTTTATAACATAACTATAACTAAATTTTCAGCCATGTATTTCTTATACTTTACTGGGTGTTTGAAGAAGCAAAGCAATGACATTGCATAGCCACATGTGGGTATGTACCCACATGACACACTGAACCAAAAACTGAAAATATTATCCCAGAACTTCTACAAAAAACATCAGGTACCCTTTATACTTTGCAATATATTTGTACCTGTAGTGTACATTTAAATGATTTTACACTAAAATATTAAGTTAATAATAAATAAATGACTACTTAATTACATATTATTCAGATGTGCATTTAATAAAGACTGTGAAAAAAATATAATCTATTTTTTTCAGGTTTTATGGTGCAACGTCTCAAAAACTCCTTTCCCAATTTGACCTAATCTGGCACCTACGTAATAACAATATTGGATTAGGAGCCTGCTACTCATAGGTAAAGCAACTGCAGAGTGTAAGATGACATTTAATTACATACATTCTACAGAAATGTAGAATTTATATTGCTTTTACCCACATTCAATTTTGTGTTAAATAATAGATGCAGGCAATTAAATAGTTTTTTAGCTAACATGTAGCAGACTAACCATCTTAAATATAAACAGATTTTTTTGGCATATATTTTGACATTTACTTTATGTTTAAAAAAAGCACCCCCTTTCAACAGCATGAAACAAACAAAGTGTGTATTCAAATTTGGGAATGAAATCTCCTCTCAGTAATAGCGGTGAGAAAGTCGAGTTAGTCCCAGCACACCCAGATAACATCTTTGAAAGGATTTAAATCTAATGGAGAATATTTCTTTAAATAATCATGCCTATGATTACCCCATTACTCTAAAATGACAGTAACTTTTGTGCTTTAAAATGGAAAGTGTGCAACAGCTTTGATGAAGAGATAGTGGACTCAATTTAACTTGTCTTTTCTCTCATTTTCTTCTAAGTGTCCAGTAGAAGAACCTTTATGCTTTAGTCATTCTCTGAATGCTTACTATATGTATGCTAAATTCACTATTAGCAATTCCATGCCTCTAGGAGAGCCCATTTAGGATAAAGAATATAGCTAAATTAATAGTTGCTAAATAGTATCTAAGCTTGTTAGAGTGAGTACAATTTCCTTACAGTCTTGATGTTTGTTGTTAACTGCTGATAGATCTTTCAGAAAGAAATACACAGATATAGTTTTGACTGATGTCGCTTCTTTTTTTTTATTTTTTTGGAACTATGTTAGGATTCTCACATTTTTCCTCTAACTAGGCTAATACTGATAGTTTAAATATTAAACTCGGGTTAAATCTGGCTGCTTCCAAAATTTCCTCTATAGTTTGATTAGTTTCAGTTTCTCAAGTGACATAAAATCAGTTTTTGAGAATTTATTAAAATGTCAAACTGAAGGTTATCCCACTACAGATAAAAGATCTTAAGGAACTAGGGTCTGTATTAGGTCATAAGCGTTCGTATTTCTTTACATTAAAAATTTAGGCTATCTCATAGGAGTGTGGGTACCTGCAGAAAACCTTACATTTTGACAAAAATTAACTAGAAGGTCTATACTAAATATCCAGGGAACAAATGAACATGATTTCTCACTTTGAGTTAGCAGTATACACAGTACAATTCTGACACTTTTGTTGATACAGCAACAGATAAAAATTTGAATTGTAAAATTACCTTGCCAACAAAAATAAGTATATGATTTAATAGCCACATTTGACATATTTAAAGGTTTGTGTCTGAAACTGAAAGTGTCTCCACATAAATTTAAAAAATTGTGTCTTTCAGAGCTTTTAATTTCTGTTATTTTTATTTTATTTTCTGTTCTAACTATGCATTCAGTTTTGAAGGAATATTGACATTTATTACTCTTGAGGTCATTAAGCATTTTGTATGTGGTTTCAACTAACTCCTTAGTGCTATATACCTTAGAGAACTCTATGTTGAATTATGTAGAAAAGGAAGAAAAGAATTTTCTTACTCATACTTTAAGTAAGCAACTGAGCATATCTATAACAAGGGACTTTTTCAAAATACCCTTTTTGCAAAGAGCTTCAGGGGCCAAATGGACCATGGAAAGAGGAAAACCATCAGAGCTGTGGGAAAGCAAAATGTGATTTGTTTTCAGAGCCAAATGTGGATGACATGTAGAGAGATTATAAACCTATAAAGAAGTTCAGTTTTTCCAATTCTCCAAACTGCCTGCAGTCCCAGGAGTTTTCAGGATCAGCACCATTAAAGAGCTACTTTCTGGACACCACTGGGTTTTTATTATGTAACAGAGTCAGTATCACAAATATTCTCTAAAAAAATTTGAAGTCTAATAATTTTTCCATTCCTAAAACCAGTGTCAAACTAATGAATATAAAGCATGATAAAGTTTGGGAACGGTCTTCCTGTTCTCTTCAGCGTTGCCTAAAACCAATACATTTCAGAGACTGTATGCTGCAACAGAGTTATAACTAGTCAGCAATTTGATTACACAGGCAACAACTCACCAGGTATGAAGAGGAGAACTTCTCTGTGTGTTTTGGAAAACACAGACAACCTATAAACGTGTTCAGAGATTCAGAGCACACCTAACAAGCAAATATCTATTAATCTAGAATGGTCATGTGAAAATTCAATAATCTCATCACCAGCAAATTCCTGACTGTTTTTCTAACATATTCTAGAAAAACGAATTCTTTTTCTCTAAATCAGGTCAGTCCAGTAGGGATGATTTGATTGAAATGATGGGGAATATCATGGTGCTGTACTTCAAGCAAACTTTCACTGCTATGCATTCATCTGTGAGGCAGCAAGAGAACTGGCACAGTGAACAAACCCAGCAGCATTCCATAAGACATATGCAGGTTCTGAAGACAAGTTTAGATACTATTTCAAGGATGAGTGCTCTAAAAATCAACATAATATTATATCCCAAATGCATTCTGTAATTTTCTTTTAAGGAAACAGCTCAGAATCTTCAAGTTATTTGTTGCCTTCTGTGTGAAAATCAGACAGTCTCATGACTCAACTAAATAGGTTGTATTTTCCATAAGTTAAATAGAAATATTAAATAATATATTGTAAAAAAGCTGTTCATTTATTATCTACCATACTTGTAAGGAATACAGTCAGTATCCTGGATTGTAAATACTGGACCATTTTTCAATATGTTTATTTTTTGCTCATTTGACTTTTTTTTGGACAAATTAAATTAAAAATCACTGAAATAGATTTATTTATTTTAATTCCTTTTGGTACTCTTTTTTTTAAACTTATCAAAATAGAAATAATTAATTATTTTTTTTCTTCTGAAATAAGAAAAATATTATAATCTTCTGAAGAATATTGTCTTGCATTCCATATAATCATTGACCACCACATCGCTGTTCTTTTAAGAAATATTAACCTTTTCTGTTCAATATAGCTAACTAAAAGGCACTGAAATTCTTTGTATTACAGTTGGGTACCCCAACTATGTGCTTTGATGTCACTTGAGGAACAACCTCTAATGTGAATCTGTAAAAGCATTAACTCCAAATATTAGTCATATATCACTCGAGATTACAAAATATATCTACATTACTCCTTGCTATATGCAACTGTGAAATAAAACAATATCTGGCAATCATTTCTCTCATTATAAAATGCAGGTTTTCAACTTGGTGCATAAGAAGCTGGAAGATTTTAAAAATTAAAGGTAATAAATGCTTTCTGTTTTGATTTTCTGACCTGAAGAAAATGAGGTGGAAAAGATCAATAATTTTTTTAATGTCACAAAGTCATTGCCACAATTAATTCAGCAAAATTAAATACATTATTCAGTTATTGGTGCAATGGTTTTTTTTACAGCATTAAAATTTATAGAGCTTGAGAAAGCTCTGCTCACTCTTTGGAAAGTTCCATCAGGCAAAACATTAGTAACGTTAGTCACAGTCAGAGGTGCCTCTAAACACAAAGACCCTGACTTCATACATGTTGCCCTAAGCTTTTTTTTTTTAATAAAGTTGCTCAGAAGTTTGAGCAAAGCCAAACACAGAACACAGTACTAGAATACACTTTTGTTACACCTGTGAACTGCACTGTATCCAATAGGAGCATTACCTTAATATGGAGCTAAAATTATCTGGTTTTATACCTCTTTATTCAGCAGCAAAAATCATCAAGTCTACTGCTCGATCTCTTAAAAACATATTCAGTACAAAGAATTTGTTAATAATAAAATATAAAAATATAAAAAATATTTTTATAAAAAAGGACAATTAACTATTTGTCTTTCAGACTGTACATTTTCTCATATATTTTTTTCAAATTCCCTCCTGGCAAAGATAGACTCACTTGATGGTGCTGTCAGCCCTCTGTGCACTTTGTATCTTTTAATGTATGTCATGTAACCAGTGGATAAATGAATAGGGAAATGCTAATCTCTGGGATTAGGTAAGTAAATTTGCTATTTCCTTTATCAAGCTCCCATGCTGGAGTAAGTCCCATGTTCCTAATTGCAGGCTGATATTTACCTCTCTCTGTCCGGGGAGTAGTGGTCGTCTATGACTCGGTGTCTGTCCATGCGGTTCAGGGTGTTGTAATGCGCAGCCGTAGATCGAGGCCCTCGGGGTCCCTGATCCACATTCCGACTGAGGATAAAAGAGATCAGATTCTGAGTTGTGAGTGTGCCTGCACTGTATACCCTCACTGGATTGTACAGACAAGTATTAGCAAACATGTTTCTAATGAGATCTGCTGGTTGACATAGATTTTGCATAAATTTACTCTGAAATAACGTTAGAACTCAAAAAAATTTGCTCATTTAGAAAAAGGTGCCAAGTCCATGATAGGGATAGAGTTTTCTTCCTTTGTTTCAATACTTGTTTGTTTTGGAAATGAGAGGAAAACTTTTTTTTTTAATTAGAAAGGTTAATTTCAGACAAGATTTCATTAGTCTTTCCAGACTAGTACCTTCAAGGAGAATTTCCTTCTAGCTGAAACATGCACTGTAAAAAATTTTTCATGAGTTCTTGATTTTGGCTATACCATAAAGATGTAAAATGGAGTTAGTTACAGTGGGGACTTCTGGCTGTTACAGTGGAGTGCAACCTGCTGAAGTCATTGTCATCTGAATTAAAAATAGCTGCTTGTTTTGTCCTGGAAAAATTTATTCTATAATCTCATAGAGAATCTGAAAGAGACAGAACTGTTTTAATTAGAGTAAGTGGTGCCCATAGTGCAGGTTTTGTTAAATAGCACCAATAACCTTTGCAGTTTTGTACTATTTGAGACCAAAGCTTTGCTCATCGATTGCTTTACTCAGTTCAACTACTGATACCTACTGATACACACTAACTTCATTTTTTCTGCTCTGTAAAAAAAATCCACAAGAATAGGAAGATAGAAGACAAGTTAATTGTAATAATTATTAGATAATTAAAACATAATTGTTTTGTATAGATTTGAAAATGACAGACTGGATGCTTCCCTCCACACAAATTCAAGTTTTAGACCAATAAATTCTTCTGTCTCCTGTCTTTTACTGCTATCTGCACTAATGTGAGCCTCTGATTTGGTTTTTGTTGCTATTGATTTTTATCACTCAGATCCTGTGTCCTTTCTTGTCATTTTGTCTGCCCTTTTGGTACCATCATCCTTATCCTTTGTCATTTACCAATTCCTGATTAGTATTAACCTGTATATGTATCCTTCACTGCTGCTGCCATGCTGTTATTTATTTCTGCATGTAAGTGCTATGAAGGTGTTGCAGTACACACAAACTTTTGCCTTCAGCTCCACCTCATTTGTTATAAAGCATTTCTCCACTCTGGCATTCATGAAACCAAATATAAAGTTTACTCTGGCTAATGAACTTTATATTTGCCATATTAAGAGTACAATTCTTCTACCTTCTGGTCCAAAACTCTTTTCTTTCAAGAACTTTTCTGTATGTCTTTAAACCCTCCCATTTATACTGAAAAGATAGAAAATCCAGTATAGCCTTCACCTGCCATTGAATACTTTCATGTGTATTTGTACTTTAAAATGGACATTGACAAGGTTCTTCTGGTGTCTTTTGTTAACTCTTTTATTTTCCCAACAACTAGTTCTCATTCCTCCTTTCTGTCCGACCCTTTTCCCCAGGGTCTCTCTTTTGTTTCAGGTTTCAAAAAAACTATTTTATCTTACTTATGTCTTCTTTTCACTTAATATTTAAGTTTTCCCAAGCTATCATTTCTTTGTAAAACTTCCCAAAGATCTGGGCTCTCTGGCCAGTAAATCAAAACTCCTGCCAAAACTCTGACTACAAGACTTAGTCCTGAAAACTCAATACCATCCTCCCTGCTAAAATCACTTTCCATAAGATTACGTTATGAGCTTATTTCTCTAAATAATTATTTTTCTTGAAATTTCTGTATTATATCAGATTCTGACTTCATGCTGATTTTTAACATCTTACAGTACTGTATTTCTTCTATTTCAAAGTGTTAATACTATTTCAATCCTGTTTCACTCTGCTGAGGATATCTTTGTCAGCCAGATTTACTATTTAACAGAAAGTTACATACTTCCTCTAATGAACCTTGTTTTATAAGAAAAGTTTCTTTCCCAACATGTGAAACTCCTTTGGAACTTTCTTGCAGTTGACAGAACACGTACGGAGCAACTCGATAACAAGTACGCAGGTGAAAAGTTGTAATTGCAGGTGATGACGGTAGAGAATAATAAACATCCTGGATTTATCACACCATTTCAGTATAACTACTTTCTATAGTCACCTTCATCTTGCTTTTTCAAATGCATAGGTTTAGAAAAAGCTTAACTCAATGTTGTTCCATGCCTCCCACAGTCTAAACTCCATTCTGATCTACAGAGAGAATAAGAGCCCATTAAATGTGTTAGCTGAAAACACCACAAGACCAGTATCAATTTCTTGTCAGCTATAATGCAATGGGCCTTCAGTGGAGTTTATTAAAAAAATTCAGTAGGACTGAGGACTGAAAAGTGGCTTCTAAGATATAACTTCTATGGCCTAAGAGCTCCTGCCTGCAGAGGTGTCAGTCACTAAATGAGAAATCTCTGGGTGTGCAGCACGCTTACTGCAATTAGGACATCTGTATAGCAGCATGTGTATAACAAACTCAGGTAAAGAGGGTGCATATGTGATTGACAATGCTCATAGTTTTCCCGAGTACCCCTGCATTTTCCGTAGATTTTAAAAAGACATTCCTGCAACCCATGGATTATGCTTCTTTTCTACAAATGCTCAAGTTCTGGTATCCCAATTCTTTGAGCTCAACAAGTCCTCAAAGAAAAGATTTGGTGTGTTGGCAGGGAAATATTACCTAAATAATGCATTTGATTCTGACATTGTAGGAAACAGCTGCAATAAATTTAAAAATATATTTAAATATTTAGCTTTAGGAAATTCAAAAGCAAGAAACATTTTGAACCCTTAGAGAAATACAAAACTACAAAAAAATGAAAAGTGTTTTCAATAGTGTTAAACAAGTGTTAATTGCTAGCTTGGGTAAAAGTTTGGCCCAAAATGCATACAGTATATATGCACACATGAAAACACAAACATACACATAAAAAGAGATTTTGTTCACATTTCCATTTTTATCCAAGACAAATAAACCCTTAAGATTTAGCATAGGCAATTACTTAGGCTGAAATCAGTATAGTAAAAATCAGGATGGGTCCCTTTGTATCTACTGTTTATGTCTCATTTCAAGTCAGACCGTGTGGTTTTATATGGGTGTAGATTTCAAGCAGAAACACACAGTTTCTCCCTGTTAGCTGTATAAGATGATATGGGATTCTTTGGGACCCTAATACCTCACTAATGTAAAAGGATATCATATAGTCTAAATTTATTAGAGGAAATGGGAGGTAAAAATGAAATTAAAAAGTAGGAAGTCAAGAGAATTTAAAGTTAACAAAAAAGAACAAAGATAACAGAAGGGAAAGCAGAGCACAAGAGAATCAGAATGGTTGCAGCAGAAAGGGATAGACATGTTTACCTGGCAGGAAATATTGGATACCAGATCTGAACTATTAAAGGGAAATTGTGAACATCATGGGCAAAAGAAATAACTTCTCCTTTCATTCCAACTGAATTACACCATGTGGAAACGTATCCATACATAGCAACAAAAGTGCTGGAAAACAGGTTTCATTCCTGTTTGCATCTATCCTTCTGCTTCCTCTTAAGAAAGTTTATTTTGCAGGAGTTTTCTTAATTCTTGCTTAAACAGTATATTCAGTCAAGTAGAGGTCATTACCCAAAAGGGACAGCTTTTGGAAGAAATTTCCTGATCTTTGTTTCACAGGATAAACAGTTATTAGAGACCTTCTAAGACCAGGAGTTGACATTTTTCAATATAAAATTGTATGTGTGTCAGTTTATTCTTGATGCTTGATAAAACTACGAAAAAACTAATAGAAAGCAAGCTACTGCAGGCAGGAAGTGCAGCTCTCCCAGAACCTTGACTCTGGGAAGGGTTGAAAACATCCATTGTCAAATGAATGTTAAGGGAATGTCAAACCATCACATACTATAAAATATGGCACCTTCTAAATAGCTCTAGAAAATGAAAATATGGAGAATATTTTGCTTTCCTTAGATTGAACTGCACGGATTTTTGATGAAAAATTAGGCAAAAATAGGCATAAGTAATTGTATAATCATATGTATTTATATATAAAAATATAGAATTATATAATCATATGATAAAAATAAAATAATAATAAAGACTATAAACAAGATAAAATTAGGTATAAATTAGGCACATCAGTATAACATAAGAACAAACATTATTGGTTTTATATAATTTTTTAAGATCTAATCAGTTCCTTGCCATTTTGAAAGTCTGGAGATTCTTTCCAGTATTGGTACAGGATCAATACCACTAAAATGTATATAACTGCATAGTTAAACAACAGTTTACCTTTGTGGGGGAGGGACACTGGGAGACCACGATCTAGTCCGTCCTATACTATCTCCACGGTGAGGGGACCCTGATCGAGAACAATGATTAGATGACATAACTTGTTCTGGCACTGATAATGTTGAACTTTGAAGATCTCTCCCATTATGTCGATAATCTAAAAAGAAATGCAAATGTTCAGTGAATCTGAAGTTGCACTTTTTAATTTCCTGCTGTAACTGTAGTGGTGAGAAACACAATAAAAGATGGAATTTGATCAAGAATGTTATCATGTCTTCTTGTGTTCTATAATAAAACATACATACCTAAAGTTGACTCCTGTCGTTACAATTTATTGTAGTACCGATACAGTTCCTATAGTTATACTTTAAGAATATAGAAATTAATTACATATGCACCAAACTAGGGATTTATAATAATAAAAATACCCAAATTTAAATTTATTTGTGGTTGATATGATGCATTAATAATGAAACTAATAAAACATTTTTTTCTTTGAATAACAAAATTATTACTTTTTAAATTAAAATTATATTGCAACTATTGTTTGTAATGTATCTCAGACAAAAATGTCCACAATTAAAAATTAATCCAGAGTTCAGTTTAAAAATTCGTGGTAGGAAACTACTATGGAGTTAAAAAAAGAGTTTGGGTTTAAGAAAGATTTGTATATCTAAAATGATTAAAGTAACAAGAACTCGATGATATCAGACTTCACTCATGATTCTGAATTAAAACACAATATTTCCTTCACAAATATACAAACATCCTGGACCTAATCTTGAATTAGGATAACAGAAGGCATAAATGGTCTCAGCAGAAGTCTTCCAAAGGCTACCAGATGGACATTTTACACAGGCTTTTAAGAAGAATTCTTTTAAAAGCTGGATTTATTGAAGTGACTGCATTTAATTCAAAAAAGTTCAATTCAGTGTCCCAGGGTGCCACAGTCGCTGGAAAAAAGATGCCAGATATACAGCAATTTCAAATAAGTTTCCACAACTTTTTTGAAGATCAAATTAAAACATGATGATAAGGAATTGAAGGTTTGCAATTCTTAACCTGATTACAGTGTTTTGCAGAAAGAAGTCTTCAGAGAGTTCCTGGTGGCTATGACAACTGATATAACTGTCTTCTTTTATTCTAAAGACAGTAACCAAGTAAAGAATATTTAGAGACTGGAAAAATGCTGGCTCATACTGTTATTCTTTTACCATGAGAATCTTCTGAGACTACAATAGTATTTGGTCTTCTACTCCATAACTTGTTATTTTTCTTCCTGGTAAATGTTCAATAAGGTCCAAAGCAAAACCTCATTAATTCAGTCCAATGTTCAATACTTTCAACTGAGTATTCATATTTATTGCATGGCCTTAGGACCAAGGATGTATATGAACCACTCTAATTCATAAATAACTTTTTCCTCCTATGTTAGGGTGTAAACTTCTTTGTATGTATCTGGTATGTGTGTGAATGGGGGGAAAAAAAGGACATTACCGTTACATTACATTAAGATAATGATGTTGAGGATCAGACAGTCTCTCCTCACTACACAGCAATCAAATGATGCTGTGTAGCCTCAGTTGAGAGTCAGTAACGAACTACAGATTTTTATCTGTATGAAGTTCACTTCTTAGCATATGCACTGACAAAACATATAAGGGACAGCGCAACATAGTTCTGGGTGAAATCACCAAAGGAGAGATGGGGAAATTTTATCTCTGTTTGAAACAGGCTATTATTCACTCACCAGTAAAGCAGAGAAGACAAATAAAGTTTTTGCAAATCAGTGTGGAAATCAAGAGACTCTGCAATTCCGTAATTCTTTAACCAAAAGAAAAATAGCTAAAGTAACAGTACGGGAGAGCCCACACTGCAGCAGGCTCCTGGCAGGACATGTGAAGATGTGGAAAGAGAAGCCCACATTGGAGCAGGTTTGCTGGCAGGACTTGTGACCCATGCTGGAGCAGTTCATTCCTGAAGGACTGCATCCCATGTGAGGGACCCACACTGGAGCAATTCGTGAAGAACTGCAGCCCATGGGAAGGATTCACAACAGAATTTCATTGAGAACTGTCTCCCATGATAGGAACACCCCACTGGAGCAGAGGAATTGAGTGAGGGGTCCTCCCCCTGAGGAGGATGTGTGATTTGACTGACTGCAGCCCCCATTCCCCATCCTCCTGTGTTGCTGGGGGAAGAGGTAGAGAATCAGGAGTAAAGTTGAGCCCAGAGAGAAGAGAGGGGTGGGAGGAAAGTGTTTTAAAATTTAAGGGGGGAGGTGGTATTTTCTCATTATCCTACCCTGATTTGATTGGTAATAAACTAGATTAATTTCCTGAAGTTTTCTGGTTTGCCCATGACAGTAACTGGTGACGGATCTCTCCCTGTCCTTATCTCAACCCACAAGTCTGTTACACTCTTGATTCAGAAGGGGAGTGATGGAGTGGCTTTGGTGAGCACCTGGAGTCTAGTCAGGGTCAATCCACCACACACATAAGTGAGTAGCAAGTTATTAAGAACTTCAATATACTGAAATAAAAAACATGATTTACAGTACAAGTACACAGACAGAAATATTGTCTTATTATCCTAATAACACATATCTATTGATATAAAAAAAGCAGAGATGGTTTTTTGTATTCTGGATACAAAGGGAGAATTTGTTGCATTTGGAGATTGAAAACAATGAAGAGCAGTAATCTGAAGAAATAAGAAAATCCTTTAGAAAAAAATCAACAGTATATATAATATTTGGCATGTACAGACATTGAAGTACAAGAGGAATGATAATAGCATAAGGTATTCTACCTGAATAAACATAATGAAAGGCAAGGTAATCAGTTAACAAAACACAAAAACCTCCTTTGTCTGAAAAATTCCTAGAAGTGAGAACTAGTAAATCAAAATTATTGTATTTATTAAATCTATATAAAGAAACAAATCTGTATATAGAAACAAATTAATTCCTTTGAGGAAAAAAGCCTCCTCCAGCTCTAACTTGTTATTGTAGTTGACCACTTGCACAGTATTGTTGCAAAAAAAGTTTATGATTATGTAATTAACTGCTAAGTCTAAGTTTGACCAAAACTGGGGTTTACATTAAACTGGAAACAGATAGGCATTTCTTTCTGGTAACTATCACTGGTCCTGTTTCCTTATGACATATCAAAAGGCAGAAACTATCAGTATTCCCAGTAATTTTGCATCAACAAAACTAGACCTGTTTAGCTGTGTTCAAAGAAACAGATTATTTTCTATGCTTTGTTGCCAGAAAATAAACTTCGAAATTCATGACTCATTTACTCAAAACAAAAATTTCTATATTTATAAACTTCTTTTTAGGCAACAGGTCACACATTCAAGAGTAGCAGTTTCAGTAGGGCAACCCACTAACATGAGATAATTCCAAAGTCATCTTTTGGTTTTCTAGAGTTAATGCAGCTGATTTAACTGCCTGTACTGTAGGTGTGATTTAACTTCAATTTCAAAACTATTCCATGTCCTGGAAACAAGGTTAGTGAAAGTAGGTAAAAATATATTCTTCTGGAAGGAAATTATAGACAGAAAACAGGTCATAAATGCAGCTTGACCACCGAGTTGCTATTGAGCAAAGCAGATAATTATTTATAGCAGTAGTAAAAACAGGATAAACATTGGAATCTGCTTGCAGCTATAAATATTGACTCATTACCATAGAATCAAAGGCTTTATAACTACGGCAAGCCTCTTAAATCAACATAGAGAGCACACAGAACCTGATAATCAGTATAGAGATAATCAGCGATAAACAACTTGAGCTGCAGACACCTAAAGATGGGCACATGACAAAGATATCCTCAATGCCACCATCCTTTTCTTTTCATGGGAAGTTTTCATTAAAAACCAATTCACATCAAAAAAGGGATATTACAAGGCACACTACATACACCTTATTCGGACCTGAAGTTTTAATTTTATTTGTTTTAGGGGAGACTATTAATATATTTGACTTAAATTATTTACCCACACAGCATGGTTTTACTATGCAAATATTATGCTACAAAGGGTACATGTTCTGTAAATACTGATATTAATGAATTCTTACCAAATTCTGCAGCTTTCAGGCACAAAATTGAAGAAAATTACAAACTTCCAAGTATGAAGTTCATGTCAACAGCCCTAAAATAACCCTAAAAAATTAACTAAAGTGTAATAATGAAGATTTTAATTTAGATGCCTTGCTGCTTTGTTGACTTGAAAGAAACTCCTTGTATGAAAATTGTTCTAGAAAGACAATATTAGAATTTTTGTTTGTCACAGGCAACACAATTGACTTGTTTCTGACACTGATGCTAAGTGGTGTTTTCTGCACTTTAGCATCTGTACTTGATTGAGGCATCAAGCTTTCTCTATATAAGATATTTAACTTTTTAACACTCACTGCGGTTGGGCTTAGAACAAGCACTAATTAAAAGCAATTATATAATCATATTACCAGAAATGCTTAACATAGCAAGATTTCACACATGGGCACTTTGGAGAGAGTTCAGTTCTTTTATACAAACGTACTCAGCTTCTATGGTGATTTGAACATCTAAATGAAGAATTTGGATGTCCTCTAAAACAAGTGCTGACAGTAACTGATAAAATAAATTGAATTATTAATATCTGAATAGTCTATAAGTTGAAGTTACATTATTCATGGCTTTGGGGAATTTTTTTGCTTCATAATATTATTCTACAAATGTGGGAAAAATGAATGTGTAGTTAAAGGAACAATATTACAGTAGGAACAACTGGTTACTTCCTCTGTGGTAACTCAGTTCCTTAGAGGTATTTTTAGCTTTACAGCACTGATGGTATTTATAGGCCCATCACACTTGAGACAATTCTTTTGATCATTAAGGTGTATGGAAGAGCATTCCCACACAGTAATAAACTAGATCTTACTGTGTTTTCAGTCCTGTCCCTATACCCAGAAAGACTTGCAAAGCCTGGGGGGAAAAGGAACCAAACTACCAGTTACTATACAGATGTTTCTTCTTAGTTAAGTACTCATCTATGTATATTTTCATGTGTCCCACAAGTCAAATTAGTCCACCTCACACTGTTGATTAGAATTTATCAGTCTTTTCATGTAGCGTTTCCTTCTTAGAAGTGCTCATCACCACGATTGTAATTCACCCCAGCTAGGCTTGCCCTTCTGTGAGAAGTATCCATCAAGAGCATCTCTGATAGGAATGCAGCTTCATTGCACATTTCTGTTGCCTATTATGTGCCTTTGTTGCTCTGTAGGTATTAGGACTGTGATAGAATAAAAACTAACATGCTGAGCTCATACTTGCTTAACTTCACTCCCAAAGAATGCTACTGATAATTACTAATAATCTGAAAATAAAACTTTGATTAAATTACATTTTTACTTTCATAGTAGAGTGATATAGCTTATATTTAAAAATCATTTAAAACTAGTTTCAACTAGTTTTAAAAAAAACATTGAGAGAATTTAGATGTTTGAAGAGGAAGATGACAGCTGCAGAAATGATACTAAAGATTTTTTTTAATAGTAAAAATTCTAAGTTAAAAATTCAAATAGTAAGAGAACAAAAAGTATACATTAAGAAATGAAACTAAAAATGCAAGGAGAAGCTTGAACATGTTTCCTTCATAGCATAATATTTGCATAGTAAATCCATACTGTGTAGATAAAAACTTTGAGTCAAATGTATTAATATTCTCTCTTAAAACAGATAAAATTAAAACTACAGGTATGAATTATAAAAATGTGTTAAGAACTCTAAGCATAAAAGTAACATATACATAATTTATTTAAAAGTAAGGAAAATGATTAAAGATCTATTGACCTAGAGGGTCAGCCATCTTAACATGGCTTGAATTTCCCTTCCAATTTGGGGGGGATTTTTGAGACACATAGACTATTGTTTTTAACTCAAGGGAGAACCTGGAAAGAACAGATTTTAGAGGAGGGCATTGGGTATTAACATATAATAAAAGAAGAAGGTTGTGAGTGTTTATGTCTGTAGTTACTGGGCTTTTGGGTCACTGCAGGCTCTCATTTAAGGCTAGCTAGCGATCCACAATGAAATCCATATTTTAGTAAGGATAGAAGTCACACACTCTATGTGCTAACGCTGTCTTTCTCTAGGCAGTTGACCCCAAGCTAGAACCAAAGTGTTTGTGTGTTCTGTATCTGCTTTGAGAAGCAATTATCAACAAGATTCAAGTATAAAAATTCAGCTCACACTATTAGCAAGTAGAGAAAAGGATTTTTGTTTCCTCTGCAGGGAGGGCTGCAACTTGACAGTGAAAGAATTCTTTTGAAAAAAAGGACTCCTCAGGTGTTTTGAGAAGTGAAGCAAAAATGGATAATTGCTTTTCATTCTTCTTCAAACACAGGAATAATAATTTCTTTACTGACTGTTACTGGTTTTTTTCTAATTTACTTGGTTCTAACTATCCTCTGAATAAGTATCTTATTTGTATTCTTATTTGCTCCTGAAACATACTGCTATCTTTTGCATAATGACAAAAACTTATCACTATAAATGTATTTCGTCTCAAGGTTGTGGACTGCATTCTTTTACTTGGTAAAGCTCTTCTCTACAGAGACTTGCAATGCAGTTTATACAGAATTCACTGCTTTACATTCTCCCATAATTTATCTGTTGAAACATCTCAGATTAATAGCATTTCATAATACACTGTAATGCTGATGAGATATTGGTGTAGAACTGAATTTTAAACATTAATATCTCAATATTTTAGCCTTACAAGAATGATGAGAATTTTATGATTAAATGGTCTTGACAATACGTGTCTCTGTTCATAAAGTCAGACTCAGTGGGTTTCTTGTACTCAGTAGGTTACAGCAGGTTCAACATAAAACTATGAAGTATCTGGGAAGAAAACTATTTAGAAATTATAATCCATATTCATTGAACTTGTTAACTATAATGCCCAATGTTCAATTTTGGACACTAGAAAGGAAAAAAAAACACTCAAAAAGCCACCCTGTTTTTTCTGAACTGTATTTAGTGTTGTAACCTAAATAATGTTTTGTAAAGTGCTCTGGAATTTTTCAAAAATCAATATAAAAATATTGTATTGCTTTTATCAGTAAGCACGTAAGAGTATCCTAAAGGGCATGTGGAAATGCTGATGTACACCCACACAGAGCTGCTGGTGACAGACAACTTTGAGGGCCAAAGTTTATTATTCAGGACACCAAACCTAATGCTTTAAATGGTTTGAGGACTATGCAATCTAAAGACAAACACAGAACTGTTAATGCTGCTCCTTCTGCTATCCTCTGCTGATTAAATCCTGCAAAGATGAAATATAATAGATCTGTTCTAGTCTTTCTGATCCTATAATGAATGTACATTATATTTGAAGAGAGTTATTTTAAATTCTTCTAAAAATTTCTTTTTAGATACGTAATATCACAAAACCCTTTGTGACAGTTGCTGGTGTAGAATACACATGTAGCCAGAAAAAAAGACACAGAAGTTTTTCAATGTATTTATCATTGGTTTCTTAAAAGCCTTTCCCGTTGACAGAAACAAGAGACTGATATTTATTTCATTTTTCTAAGCAGGTTGATCCAAGCCACAAGAAAGGATGGCTTCTGCGAATAATTTTTCCAAGAGATGATTAAATATTAAAATGGTTTGAATTCGAAGGGAACTTTAAAGGACATCTAGTCAACCATTATGAATAAAAGTAAATCAAAGAGGAGCCAAAACAGAATTCCTGTTCTTCTTCAAGATTTCTAGAGTTTAATTCACAGGTGCAATACTTGGAATATGCATTAATTTTACAGAAAGGATCACTGAGAGTACTCAACAGATCTTAGCAAACATACTTCATGTAATACAGTATTTATATGGCAGACAGAAAAAGAGCAAAGGGAAGTGTCATGTTAAATAAGACCTGAAAATACAAAATGAAAGAACTGGGGTAAATAAGAAAGAAAGAAAACAAAGAGAGACAAATGGCTTCACGCAAAGAAGGCATATACTTAAACTAAGATTGCAATGAGTCTGCAAATGAGTAGAGGAACCTTAAATGAGAGAGGGATGATAAGGAGAGTGGACGATAAGACAAGGATAAACCAAAAGACTTGCAAACACAGAGACAGCAGCACAAAAAAAGAAAGGCAATAAATTAATATTTCAAAACCAAAAAGACCATCAAACTTTCCTACCACACAGACAGGCTGAATTAAAATGCAACTAAGGTGTAGAATTGTCAGTAAAAATTCAAAAGCTAAAAGATCCTATAGGTACATCAGAAACTCAGGTAAGGGAAGTAGACTTATTCACTGAACTGTAAAGACCATAATTTTACAAGTTGTCAAAATATAAGTTTATCAAATCATAAAATTTTAAATCTAGATGTTTCAGAAGAATCTCTCTAATGTTCAAGCACCTGGCAAAACTCAGTACCTTTTTCCAGGACAAGAAAAAGATAACAGCTTTAAAATGATGCCACAGTAGGCACTCTAGAAATATATCCATCAATCCCCCTTTTTCCCTACCATTATTATTACACTCCAAAGTTAAGTTGATACATTTCTAATTTAACTCATCAACAGCAATATAGGAGCCCTTATTTTTGGGAGGACAGGCAATCTGAAAGCCTTAGTGCCTATTAATCAAATGACCATTTCTAGGCATTTAATAAAAACAGTACTTTTATGCTATTTTTTCATTTTATAAAAGCAACAAGGAAATTCGCACTGATTTTTTCCCCTCTGTTAGTAATTTTTGAGGTTAATATATATTACCCATAATACTTATTTTTGTCTCTTGAAAAAATATACATTTAGGTCCCACTTCTTATTCACTAGAAAAACATAAAATTCATAATAAATTATAAATAACTTATATTTCTACTGAACATAGACAGGTAAATTTAGACAGTAATACCTGAAACAACACCAATTCCATCATCACAGTCATAATCAGAGACTTCACTGTCGCTGATTCTTTTGGATCCTGGGGGAAAAAAAAAGAAATGTATATTTGTCTTCCTGTAAGTTAAAACTATCCTTAGACAATAACATATAAATATGTACAGATTTCATCCTAGACAATGAATCATTAATATCAGCATATAAGGTTAATTATTCATGTTACATTATTGCAAATGTGTTAGTTTGTACCAACTATTTTCAGCTAAATCTTTAACGCAGTATAAAATGAAATGCTGAAATACATCTCCACAACACTGTTTTTAGGAAATATTTTCATGTACTTCATATCTATATGTATTAATTCCATATAGACACTGGATTCACACAGTTCATCTTTCAAGTTTTCATATCATGGCACCATCACTCCCTAGAGTCTTTGAATAACAGAAAAATTAATAATAGCAATAATATTAAATAGATGTAGGATTTTCTTTCAGGTCTTAGCAAGGATTATCAGGAGAACAGGCAGCTTCACACATATAGTGCGCCATTAAAAACGACCAAACTATTAAATGCTCTGTAAGAGTACACCTGGCAAAATAACTAGAGCTTAGTTGGAGAAAGTAGGTTGCACAACCACAATTAGAGCCAAAATGTAGGATGAGTATATACATCAGTTTGTGTTTACCTTAATTTTACTTCAGTCTTCTGTGGCATCTTTTAAACAGCATTTGATTGTTGAGATTAAAATTAAGCACTGGCATGTGAATTCTAATTCTAATTATTCTAATTCTAATTATTCTAATTCTAATTATTCATTTGCTTGTTTTAAACATGAAAAACCCCTGTTCTTCACCAAGATGGTGTGTCTACTCTAATTTTCTGGACATCTAAAAATAGGTAACTCGAAGGTTAGACTAGAAGGTAGAAACTTTAATTATCATCACAATTTCAATCATGTGCAAGATTTTTTTTATGCCTGGCACAGCACAATTTATTCTGAAACACACACACACAAATACAAGTAAAAACTGGGAATAAACCTGAAGAAGCCCAGGACAAAGCAGTACTAATGTTCTGTCTGGGTAATTGGCACAGAAGGATCTGTAGTCTCCTTTTCCCAATAAAAAACTGGAAGAGCAAGCGCTAAGAGGATTTTTGACAAAAGTAAAAAGGTTTCAATTTAAGGAAATGTTAGAAATCATTTGAATTAGGAGAACTGCTGTTGTTTGTCTAACATTTGTCTACCCACCAGGGGATAGTGGAAGGTCCTTCTTCAGTGGAAAGAATGTGCTTACAAGAACTGTATGAAAAAAGTTTTCTGTGTTGCACTCTTCTAGCTCTTAGCAGGCAGGGATCCTGGCAACTGAGACTTCTCCTAAGCTTTTTACCATAAGTAAGTAATCTACTCATTCTCCACAAATTCATAGAATTTCTTTTTGAGTCACAGTATTTTCTTGGCCTCTGTAATATGCTATGTCAATAAATTCTGCAGTTCAATTATGCATTGTGCGAAATCAACTTTTCTATACTTTATTTCTATTAGATTATTTCAGACAATGCCCTCTAAGCCTTTGTATTCTGAAAACTTGAATCAGTATTCTGTATTTTCCTATAGTCATCTCTTTTTTTTTTTTTTGAGCTGAAATAACATTGTTTTGTTCCTTTGAATATGCAAACCATTCCATATTTCTGATTGTTCTTGCTGTATTTGTTTGTATGTTTTCTAGTTCCTCTGTGCCCCTTATGAGAAATAGGAAGTGATTTCAGCAATTAAGATGTGGGTGTATGAATTTATAAACTAGATTGCAGACTATTTTTTTGGGGTAAAATTTCTCCGTTTAAAAACTATTCAACTAAAAAATGGTATAAGTGTGATATGTGCTAATTCTTAGAGAACAATCTTGTCTGCCAGTACACTATGCAATTTCAGTAAAGAAATGTTAATTGTGGTTATTCAATTGTAGCAAAGGTTGGTGCTTTCCTCACAAATAGGAAATTAAAATAAGTACAGGGAAAGTCATGCAATTCTCATGTGGTAGAATTATTAGATCAATTTATTAAAAAATTTTAGAAATAGCCATGCTACAATGTGTGGGGGACAGGTGTCTGAGTTAAGAAATAACAGGAAGTCTTTCTGTAAAAAATTAAGAAAATGATGACCATTAGCCCTCAAGAAAACCCAGAAGATGAGGGCAGGAGTGAAGGAAAAGATTTTGACCTCCTCTGATTATTTTCTTAATTATAGTATTACAGAGGCCCAATAAAAATCCTTCTTTCTTCCCAAAGAAAGCATCCATTCCACCTGTGATGCTGTTCCTGCTGCCATTTTCAGCAAAGCCTTCTACTTGTGTGCTGATATACATGCCAGTGAGCAAGCAGGATTAGTCTCCATTTTCCTTTGCCACTTATTCAAAACCAGGTCATTAAAGGACAATATTTGTGACCAAACACTAAGCAAAAGAGCCATACCAGCTGGCTGGGATTTGGCTGGGGTCTGAAAGGCTTCTGCCTTTGGGGGCAGAAGCCCCCGGAGTGAGTGCTAAGCAATGTGATTTTGTCCTCGGGAACCCCTGCCCCTGCTCTGGCAGCGAGTCTGTGGCTGCTGTGCAGAGAGGCCAATACCAACACTCAGGCTCTGTCACAGAGAAGACTGTGGAACCTGAAGCTGAGAGAAACCAAACAGTTTGCTGATGTTCAGCACGTGGATACTTGGAAAGGTTTGTATCGTGAAAGATATAAAAGGGCTGAATCAACTGTGATTTCAATGGATATCATTTACTCATCATCTAATTCATTCTTATGAATGAATCTAATTACAACTGAGGTTGCTTTTTATTTATGTTTATATTTACAGCTAAGCACATCTGCTTAAACATATTTTTAGAATATTCTGTATTCTGAAGGAAAAATTTGCATCTTTGAGGATGAAAATAGCAAGCTGTTGTCACAGTGGGCTATAGACTTCCCAGCTGTGTAGCTAAAATTATGTTGTTGTAGTCACAGGATACATCTGGCAGAAAAGAGAGATTAAGAAGCTTCAACAGACCACAGGCATAAGAAACAGGGCTTGTTTTCTTTCTCTCTCTCTCTCTCTCTCTCTCTCTCTGTCTCCCCAAGTGAGATCCATCTGCTCCAGAATCTCCTAATACTCAGTTCTAAGTAACCGTCCAGGATCTAGAGATCCTTTTCTCTTTTTAAGTACAGACTTCTATCTTTATTCCCATCCAAGCTTCAGGAAGAGTTGGGGCATGGGGAAAGTGAACGGCCCAGGACTGAGATGTGCCAAAGGATGGGAGTAGAGGAAGAATAAAAACAAGGGAAGAATCAAATTTCAGCGCTTTCCCAAATTGTATTTTTTACTGCAAAGACAAGAGTCTCTAGTAATAGCTGACATTGCTTAAATATGAAAACTTCATCTGTAAGATGACAAATGAAGCTCGTTCACACCACCTCTTCTATCTCCCCAAGCTACTTTACCCAACTCTAACTACTAACAGATAAACTGACTGAAAAATGATAATCATGTTTAAGGAATATTTCCCATTTATTTACAAATGTAAATTTAAATGATAGTAAAGAAGTCAGAAAAAATTCAAAGCAGAATTAATTACTTGGTTTTATCATTGGAAATCAATGTTTTCAGGAATGACAGAGGAAAGAAAGCATGTCAATTAAATATGTAGTGTCAAGAACTACTATCTGGAATATATAAGTTCTGCAAAGGAATCAAATTATATTTATTTAAAACATCTTCCATTAACTTCAGAAATGGAACAAACTAGAATGGGCAGAGGTCAGAATCTTTTATTGAACACAGAATTTGAAATGTCAATATAATTGTTGGCAGCTTAGTTTAATATTTCTTATAATTTTTGCAAAAGTAATTTCATCTGCTGTATATTAATTGTAGAAGGTAATTTTCTTTTTAACATATTGACAATGTAAATTTGAAGATCTAGGCATCAGTCCCACCTTAGCCATGTCTTTTCAAAATACTACTTTATTATCTAAGTAATTTGAATCACTGATCATAAAAATGAGAAAGAGCAATTCATATTTTTTCTGGGAAATGTGACAATGAAGCATCTCACACATTAATCCAAATTAATATAGAGAATGAAATTCTTATTTAGCATTTGACTGTATATCTTAAACTGTTTGACATATATATTCTAAAATAGGGTATTCAAATCCATTCTAACATAAATTCAAAGTTTAGTAAAAAGCTTAAGCATGTAACACTCAGGACACTGGATGCATCAAATAAATGCATGGGTGCCAATGGTTTGCATATAATTAACTTTTTCTTTGATGGATTTTAAACATGAGAAATGGCATTAATTAAGTCTCACTGCCATTCTACTGGTATTTAGCTTATTAATGAAACTGTATTGGAGGTATTATTACCCTTTTGTCTGATAGCTGGGCGGTAACAGATGGTAAATACGGACTTCTGAACTCCTTCCACCAGGATTAACAGTTATTACAGTTACAGACTGAAGGGAAAATAGACCCCATGCTGTATGATTAGCTGCTGTAACCCTCATAAAAATGCCTTAATTCAGCAAAACCCCAGGCCCAGTGAAATCAAAAGATATATTCTTATTCACTTTAGGAGGTTTCAGTTCAATAACGTTAAACTAGCAATAAAATTTTTCCAGGGGCAATGGAAAACCAATTCATCAGACCTTGACAATGCTCAGGATCCTCCTGCCCATCCACACCTACCTACTCCTTCCCTACGATGCTGCTCATGCCACCATCCCACCAGCACAGCTCTGCAAGAACATGAACACAGTAGGACTGGAAGCTTACAGCACTTTCACTGGAGCTTCCATTGCAGACCTGGGGAAAAACCCCATCACCTAAAACCCATTAGGACCATTATTTTCAGTTTCCATTTAGCAAGTACTTTCTGTTTAAGTTTTTACTATTTTACCATTTACATTTTTACTTTCTACTAGGCAGAAAAAGGATTTATAATACAGTAGTTTTCTTAGTATAAAGACATTTCCATTTTTCATCTTCATGGCTAGTAATAATATAAAGAAAACAACCAGGTGTTTCTTTCAATTTTATGAATTAAATATTTTTTTGTGTGTTAACTTTTCATGGGCTGCAGTGTTGGTGGCCATGAAAGCTAATAGAAATTTAAACAATGCATTTACTGGCATGCTTTAACATATGGTCAGCACTGGAGTGGTCAGGCAGTTGAACTAGATGATCATTGTAGGCCTCTGCCAAAGGAAATATTCTATTCTATTTCCTCAGAATCACATTTATATCCATAACAACATTCTAAATAGCTGGAACTCTCCCAGATGAATGAAACAATATTCAAACAAATATTTTCTTGCAAAGCAACCAAAATCTGTGAAGGGTTTCAAAACACTCTCTGCCTTCTACATGACAACTAAAGTTGGCACAGAGTTTTGCTTCACTCTGTTATTAACATACAGAGGTAATAATGCAAGGTAATAATGCTTCTGTACTTCATATATTGCCCATTGATATTTCTGTTACAGGACTCAAGAGAAGACCAGTGCATAAAGTTCAAAACTCTACTAAAACCATAGGACCAACCAATATAGAATGGACTAGGACAGAGGATAGAATGAGAAATAAAATTAAGGTGAGTCAGCTTAAATACAGAAGGAAGTGCCAGTTATTTATGGCTCAGGAATTCTCTATTTTTCCTTGTGGAGGAAAAAAAAATAAAACTAAAAGGAAGAAGACAGCAGACTGAGCTCCCAAGCTGGAGATCCGGTCCCTTACAATGCAGGAAGCTTTTTTTCAAGGTTGTGTAAACTCCTTGGGAGAACAAAGGGTAGTGAAGCATGCTTATAGTTCCTTCCCTGAAGCTCACAGAAGGCCTTCACAACCACTTAAAGTCCCTTAGCATTGCCTGTAATTGTTCTGTGTACAAAGCTGACATATAAGCAACCCTGAAATCAGTCTCACAACTGTCTTAAGAATTTGCTCTCTGATATTCATCCAGCCTGTGCCCGAGGGTTCTTAGTGTGAGCTAATTTCTAATGCAGTCCTGCTGTCTCCACGTGAATATGTCACTTTATCCTCCTGCACATAATAGCGGGTTTTGGACTTTTTTATCAATGTCATCTACATTGACAGAGGAGTTTAAATACCAAATTCTATTAAGTTCCTACAGATCTCTGAAAATGGTTGCTAGATAGAAGAGAGAGATACAAATCAGAACTCCTTAATTAATAAGAAACATTATCAAGCTAAAATTTGTTTCTAATCCACATGTGCACAAGTACACAGATGCCACAGCAAACTTGGTCTCTTCCCATGAGAAGATACTGTAAAAAAATGAGAAGAATGTGGGATAATTTCAGGAGAGAATGGAATGGAAGAAATACAGGAGATTGATGTTAGATGTAATGGAAACCAGATTTTATTAGTACTGTTCTCAAGAAAGCATTACTCTGTGGGGGTTTTGTTTCTTTCCACCATATTATGAATCTATTTTCATAACAATGTGTGTTTCATTTTTTAAATGTAACTAAAAGATAATTACTTGAACCAATTCTCAAAGAGATTCTAATAATTAAAACTTCAGGATCTGCAAAAAGTCCCACATGAAACACACTACAAAATTTAAGTTTGTGAAAACTGCACATTATTAATTATATTTAATTAAGGCAAACTTCTCAGCTGGATTTGTAATGGGGAATTTAAAACACTATGAAAGTGCAGAAATTTGTATCAGTGTAAAGACTGATTTTGCCAGTTCTTAACTTACCTCATGTCTGCATTCTAAAAATACTTACACTAGTTCTCAAGCAGCTGTAATATAAGTGTTCCTTTAAATATAGCTTAAGCAAACTAGCAAAATTCCTAGTATAGTTAATAAAGCTCACTACAGTTTTCCTACCATAGCTGTATCTAAAATAAAGGCAAGCAAAGCAAGTATGGTGTGACAATACTGCTCCAGTATCAATACTGAGATGTTAAGAATAGAGAAAGAAAGCCAACAAAAGACCTATTACTGAAAAGCAGACAAGAAAAGCCAAGGAACTTTTAAGCAATTTAGCATGTGCACAAAAGGTAGCAAAAGCACACCAACAAAATATCAAATTATAATTTGCACGCATATGGAAGCAATAAGCATTTCTGGCATGCTTAAAATTTACCTGAATTATATGAATATAAGCCTTTATCTGGAAAACAAATATTGAAATGAAGTAGTGTCAGGAAAAAATACATGAATCAATACATGTAACAGGGATGATTAGAACCTTAAACTTCATTATAATTGCTGCCAGATGCTGAAAATTTTGATATTTAGGCCACATTCCTTCAAAATAATAAAACTCAAGCATACAAGAGAAATTAAACTACAAAAATGTCAATCACTTCTGGATCACCAGCTGTACTCAGTAGTCACAGAGGACTAGCAGAGCTATTTCAGTAAGTTCCAATTCTGAAATACAACTGCACATTTTTACTCTAAGCATTTAACTTTTTAAGGGCAAAATGTATATTCACCTAGGCATACAGCATGAGCTGCTACCCTTAAAGTTATTGCACGGTTCTGTTGTCACCACAGCATTAGCAGAACTTTCCCAAGATGTAGTTATGAATCCTACTTTAAATTTAGCAGACTCAGAAATGCTGTTCAAGTCAATCTTTTCTCTCCAGTTAGGTCTTGATTTGGTAAATATGTACATACATAAAAACCTTATCTGCATACCATTGTTACCATTGAATTTAAGAGTCCTGATGTGTTCTCAATGATCAAATACTTGCATCATCTGATTTATTGTTTGCGTTTCTTAAGTCTGACTGTTTATGTATTTTAGCTTTCCATACAATCATACCAGTTTTTCTAAACTGGACAGAATAATAGTATTTGAATATCTGAACAATTATGGAAATGTGAATTGCTACTTTGCATTTGCAGATTTTGTAAATATGACTTTCATCAGGTAATATGAAGAAGCTGGGAAGTCAGAATAACATTAATAGTATCTTGTCATTAGCAAGACATTATGAATATTTTTATTCCTTGTAGTTGAACAGCTCAAAGACATCATCTTAAATAGAAAAGAGTGACAGTCTGTGAGTAAATAATGCACCTCAGATGATAAGACATGACAGTATTTGGGAAAAATGAAAATTTCAATTTCTTGCCAGCTGGTGCTGTTAAAGGATTCACTGGATGACTAAGTACCTTCTGGCAAGTCACACTTTTTCTGACATCTAGGTACTAACTATTTTAATATGTGGATCACATCACTAAATCATCTACTACTTACAATTTCTAACTCTTGTATTATCAAATTTTTTCTTGATAAATGTAATAAATTTTTATGTCCCAGATCCAGTATTCCATTCAGCAATATAATTTCGAAGTGAATGATAGGAGGTTTTTTCAGCATCATTTACATTTTAGATGTGATCTTTATCTTGTAACTTCTTTTAATATTTGTATCCCTTGGTACTATTCTCTGCCAGTTATGAATTTAATTAAAAACTGACTCTTATTTGGCTACAAAATGATGAAAAATGGAGTTAGGGAATTTTCCTAGTTTATCCCAACAACATCAGAAAGTCACCAAAGGTTCAAGTGTGCCACACTCGCCCCCAAAAAAATCAATTAACACAGTCTAGAAATTATTTACAGAGTTAAAAATTATGGACTTTCTCAATTTAACTGCTTGAAAGTTCTGTAAAAGGTAGAGCTTCTGGAAGAGCACAAAAATACTGAGGTTTTAATGGGATTGAGGACCAAGGAAGCCATGTTTGTTTCTATATGGTTACAGTACAGAAAGAAAAAAGTAGGAATAGCATCAAAACCATTTGAAAACTTCATTAAAACTATCACACTTTATATGATAGCTTATAATGCTTTCATAATAAAAAAATATACAAATTACCTTTAGCCTAAAAAAGGAAACTAGGTCATTAACTTGCTATTTATTAACTGCTTAGCAAGGTTACTTTACTCTGTGCACTGAGTTCTTTGTTGAAAGAACATTGTTTTCTGTCATCATTACATGAGAGAAGAGTAGTTTAATAACATGATTCTATCAAGTAATCAGAGCAATATTGTAATAATCAAATTCCCTTAAACTTCTTCAAAATAGGTTTTTAAGTATTTTTGCAGTTTAATTACAATTTAATAAATTAACACCTTGAGTTTCTTTTATTAGAAAAAGAATTTTTTTATTGTTTAAGGCCTTTTTAGACACCCCTGTATCATGTTAAATACCTTTTAATTAAAGTATTTAATAAACCATAGAGGTACAATAAATAAATAAATAAATAAATAAATACAATACTGGTATATATATCCATATTCTGTTAACAAAAAAATATCAATGCATGCAAAAAAAGACAACATGCCCAAGGCCTGTGCTCTATAAAAGAAAGAGAAATTTTAAAGAAGAAGCATGAAAGAGAAAAATAAGTGTTATTCTTGCTCTCTAGGGTAAAAGTCTTATAATAAATTAATCATTCATAGTCTGTGCCACCGACCATAAAATGCTCCATATTATAATTTGAAAAAAGTCACTGATGCATGTTTCCATTAAGTACAATTCACTTACCTACTAGTAAACAGTATAATTATAATTTCCTCAAGTAACGTTCAGTGACATTGAAAATTATCACACTGACTTACCACACTCACAACAACCTAAAAGGAAATTGCTGAGACAGCAAAATCACAATTCTACAGTAAAATGAGACTCCAGAAGGAAGTAAACAGACCTCCAAGGAAGTAAACAGCTTTCACTGAAGAAGATTGGGCATCATTTCACAGGGTCTCAGGTTTCACAGGATAATGTTTCAGATATATTTGGAATTAACTATTGTTAAACTTCCATGATTTTGGTACTACTAAGTGTATATCTTGATGTTCTATAATATAGACTTGGCAATTTTACCATTTAAATAATGGAAGAGAGGGCTTGAATTAAGTTATAATACTCAACTCCTCTTTGGTTTGGTGGTACAGCCACAGAACATTAAAAAAACCCCTCAGAATTAGCAATGACAGGTTAATCTAAAAATGTTTTTCAAAAATTAATAAGCTATGAGGTTCTTTATTTGTGAATTCAGTCTATCAGTTTGCTTTTATCCTAGTCAGATGTAATATTTTTTATCATGTTAAAGTCTCAACATTGCCCCAGAAACTGCAATCTGACTGGGGAGAATGTACAAAGCTGAAAGAAGAGGACAAAATTTTCCACGTGATTCAAAACACTTTGTTTCTGCATTATAGATTTCTTTTTATTCCCATCTGAAAAAATAAATAAAATTTGGAAAATAAATGTTGTATATAGTTCTTTTGCACACCGTATGCAGGTTTTTTGTAGAACATAATATACTTAATTTTTTTTCCCCAGAGATTAAATACTTGTTACTGTAATTTCTCTTCCTCCAGATTATTTTATGTGCCTGAAGAATCATGAAACTCAGTGAATGGAGTCATTGATGAATTTCATTCTAAAAGTAATGGAAGTCAAATTCCCTTTAAAATAAAGCTACTCCGCAATCTGTTTATTTACATAATTTTAATTCTGATTGATTTGGCTGTTTTTCAGTTCTTGAAATTTGATTCACCATTTTGGACTTCTATATGTTGATTTCCAAATATATAATTTCTAAAATTTCTTAGATCTTGTTTTCAGCAGTTTATCTCCCATAGTTTTATTACTTTTCCCTTACTGAGGACACTCAAAATATAAAACTTCGATTTTCTTTTTCAAACCATACTGTGCCTTCTCACTGTAATTAAAAGCTCTCCTTCAACTGCTGCACATACCTATGCTGCAACAAGAGATCTGAAAATGTCTGGATTTACTGCTATATGCACATCTCTTCTCCTGGTGCATTTAGCTGTTACCCACACTGCACACCAACTTGCTGTGGTCTGCAGATCAATAATTCAGACAGCTTGGTTTTAAAGCTGCAAAATCCGACTTAGAAAACTAGCAGCAGTTACTTTTCAAACCTAAGTAATTGGGAAATTCTTAAAGCACTGGAATAAAAAGAAATCTGCTTCCAAAACTAATTCAGAGTCAATGTAAAACTAAAAACTGTTCTCCAAAATACACAGTAACTCTGTATTCAACAATAACTCGATACCAGCTCATAGTGCACAAATGCTCATATTACGTGGACATAGCTGTAAAAGGTTGAATAAAAATGTCTCGGATACAATTTGATGTATATCTTTATAAACTGGGCTACTTTGAGAGGAAGCAATTTTTGATTTGCAAGTTCATGGTATAATCCCTGTTTGATTTCTGTATCAGTTCTCAATAAATAGAAATACTAAAAATAACTTTCATCCCAGTGATCCTAATGACTATGAACATAAAATTGAAACCTCATTCAGTTTTCCATGTAGTCTGTATTAAGATTCTTACCTAATGTAAGATGGAAAAGTAACCTACTAACAACAGGAATTCCTAAATATTCTTTAAAATTATTTTTGATTTGCTGTTTACAATCTTTTTTCAGAAGCAATATAAAAAGAACTTCGCTTTGTTTGTAACTCTAGTTACTGTTGTCCAGAATTCTTAATGTATATCTGATTTTATACAAAATGTTAGAGAAAATGAAGTAATTTTAAAAATTCAGTTCAGAAGTCCAGCACATTTCACATGAGAAAAAGCTTAAAATATACCCATTGGATAAACATCGTCAGTTTATGAAAATCTGAAATATAATTAGCTGAAAGACCTAGTAAATCATAATCCTATGTTCTATATTAGTTCCAGTTTCTAAGTAGATGTCTCAAAAAACACAAAGGAAAAAGTATGGTAATGATCCTTCATCACCGGGAAGTTACTGGACCGTATGGATCAGAGGACTGAGCAAGAGAAGGTGGACGCTGACTATCAGTCTGTACAACACACTGCCCACTCAAAGATATTGAGAGAGAAATATATGCAGAAACTAAGCTACTGTCTCTGGAAACTGGTTCCAAAAAAATGGCATATGGGGCTGTGTGGGAAGCTTGCACTTTGCTACTGGCAATCTGTAAATAGGACTTCACTCTTCAGGGCTGACAGTCTGCTCTTCTTCAGAAACACTACAATTTAGTGATATTAAAAAGAGAATAGAAGTAAGCGGTAAGTGTAGGTGGTTCTTTTAAACTACCTTTAGAGAATAACATTTAAGTATTGTCTTCAAACATATGTGTTTATCGCTACTTGGCAATCATGAAGAAAGCTTAGATGTGCATTTATACTAACAACAAACAACCTTGTAATTCAAAATATCTCTTGTCATTTCTCACACTAACAATTTTGGGGGGGCATTCAATAAAGTACTTCATATTGTACTCACTAATTCTACATATAGAGGCATCACAGAAATGAACAAAAGGTAGGAGGACTGAACTGCTCAGATTCTGTGGCTCCAGAAATTGAAATCAGCCTACTGTATTAACAGCCCAGTATGTTTTCTAAGATGTGCATTGAAAAACATAAACAAACATGCTAGACAAGCCTTGTCTTCATTCTGGAAATTTTTTTCGCATTGTCATAATGTACCACTGGATAACATTTTCTGTTTCATCATGTACAAGAGTGTTATTTAAAGATACAAAAACATCTACAGACATGAGGAACTAATATATTGTTTAACTTAATACTCTTTTGAACCCCCCCCAAAAAAAAGTAAAAAAACCAGACTTCTATGTGTTATTAATATAGTATAAATATTTTACATAGTGAAGGCAAACAGTCATAAGATATGCTGTCTGCCCTTCACCAGTCCCCTGGTGATGACATTTAGATTGGGAAGAGCCTTTTGGAGGCCATCTGGTGCAATGCCTGTTTCAGGCTTGGCTAACTTACATTGAATTGCTTAGAACCTTGTCTAATTGAGTACTGGATCTCTCCACTAGGATGTTCCACCATCTCTTTGAACACCAAGAAGTAATTTTATTTCCATTTCAGAGGTGTGATAGCAATTGTGGTAGGGGGAAACAGTTTTTCCCCTGCAGTTATAAAATGGTAAAGCCCCAGGGGGTGGTGACCCTGAAAGTTTGGAAATTTTATCCAATGAGCGCTTCTGCGAAATATAAACATACCACAAGCAAACAGAGGAGAAGGTTAGTTGTGGTGGTAGGAGAACCAGCCATGTTGTAGGAGCCACAAGGAGAGACAGCAGCAGCCCCACTGGGGGTTGGGCCCCCCCCAGCCCAAGTTTTCTCCACCGTGAGTGAGCAGAGACAGAGCAGAAGCAGAGAAGCAGCGTCCAGAGACTGTGGCTAAGAGCCAGGACAGATAAGAACTGAACCAAACAGCAAACGGCATGCAGCAAGAGAGAGAACTCCTGGAAGGAGAGCCGAGAAAGAGAGACAGCAGCAGAGAGATAGAGTTGGGGTAAGAACTGGAATAAAACCTCATACCCCTCTGAGACCTCCAAGAAAGGATGAAGATGGACTCCTATTAAGGAGAGGAGCCTTGGAGTGCTGCAGCACCAGAGAGAGAGGAGCTGAGAAGCTCAAAGACATCCTAAGGCTGGACCGGGATGGAGAAGGAATGCGGGGGGATTGACCTTGGTCCCCCCTCGCTGCTGCTGACAAGCCTGGCAGCCTGAGACAGAGCACAGGAGCTCTGGTAGAACTCTTGAGGCAAAGGCTTTCAACTGAATGCTGCCCAAGATGTTCTGACTCAGGGGTGAACCCCCCTGAGGAAGGGACTTTAATGAAGATGCCCCTGCATTTTGTGATATGCCTGTGGTGAAGCAAGTTTAGTCCCTGCTGGCAGTCCACAGGTGAGGCCTTCGCTTGGAGTTGAAGGAGAGCCAAGAGGGGTGAAAGGAGACCCCCTTGTGTCTTGAAGACCCTTGTTTGGAGACGACGGGCCAAGGGGCTTGGAGACCCCCTTGTGTGTATTGAAAAGAGATCCAGCTACAACAATCCAGTTACAGCTGCTGCATAGAAACAGAGAGACCTGCTGCCTTAGAGATATTGCTGCTCTGAAGAAGGGATCTGTCCTTCTTCCCTCCTGGATTTTTATTCGGAGGGGAGAAGAGATCTGATCCATTGTAAATACTTATGTCATGGTAGAGATAGTTGAGATCGTGTGTATAATGTATTATAATATTTATTTGTACAGTCATTGTAATATATTCCCTTTTCCCCATTCTGAGTCTCGTGTTTTGACTGGAAAAAACACATCTTATACTAGGTTGAGATGGGGAAGGGGGTTTTGACTAGAGCATTAGATTTTTTGAGGCTCTCAAACTATGACAGCAATAAAAAAAAGTAAAATAAAATTGTATTTTTAATTGCTAAATGGATTCTGCTGCCATTGCACAACTGAGACCAGATGCTAAATTTCCTATTGTGTGTCTTTCCAGTCCCCAGAAGGAAGAAATTTTAATTCCAGAAGACCATGTTCTGTACATTTAAAACTATCTGTTTAAACTGAAAATTATTTATGACACACAAGGATTTAAGACATGAATATATTGCCAGACCACTAGAGAAAATCCTTTATCAGATCTCAATCTCAGCACAAATGGACATAGAATAATTTAGTGTGGGAGAATGCGAATTCCCCAGCAATCCCAGTGAACATCTGGAATTGCTTATTCAGCTGAAGTTTTTAGAGCCCCAGGTTGTCGAACTAGTGCCCTGGAAACAGTCAGGCTAAATCATCTTCATGGAAAAGCAAGACATCTATACCAAACCTTAGTGTTTCACCAAACCAGAAGTTTTGTTAATTCCTTTCATCTACATTTCCAGACAGGCATATAAGATTGTTCAGTTGAGCACATTATTATTATTAATATTTATTAGCATTAGTATATATTAGTATTACTTTTTAAAAAAACTGACTGACTTTCAAATTTTGAATCAATATCATTGAACAGATCTTTAGTCAAGCAGTACTAAAATATGTTCAAAAATAAAGCAGTTACTGTTTTATTCATTCTTGATGGCAGTTATTTATTGCACATATGAAGCGTGATAGACAAACAGGGTTTGTTTGAAGGGCTGAATATTTCATGAAAACCAGAATTTCACTAACTTCACATACAAACAGAAATGTCCAGCTGGTCTGTAAAAGTCATTTTACATGGAAAATTTAACTTCCTAAAATGTCTTAAAAGATGGCAGAAACCATGAAAAAAAATTTAAAAACTCTGCTGAAACAGTCATGGTGTACAAGAAGACTGAAGAGAACTGAATTGCAATAGAGCTCCTTACCTTTTAACTATCACTTCTTTCCTCCTTTTGTGGACAAGTATAATCTTACAACTTCAAGGCTACGCAATGTAAGTCTCTGATAATGTGTCTATCTCAGAATATTACGATATGGAGCATTTTAATCTTTCTCACCATCCAGCGCACAGAAGTAAAACAGATCAACTGTTTGAAAAACTTATATAAAATGGATTATTTAATGAAGACCCCACATGGAACATACGAAATATCCAACCTTGTTTAAGTGACTGCACAGGCATGTGCTTCTGTGAGTTTGTGCGAAACCTGCACACAAACTCACATACTCAAAGAAACCCCAAATAATTCTTAGGAACTGTTTTTGGTTAGTTGAGGTTCTTCTATGGTTGGTTTTTTTTTTTTAAGGGAGTTGAGTTTTGTGTTGGTTTTTTGGGGATTTTTTTGGTAGTGGTTGTGGTTTTTTTTGTTCTGGTTTGCTGTTTTGGGGGTCTTTTTTTGGTTGGTTGGTTGATTTGGCTTCTTGGGTTTTTTTATATAGCTGCTAACTGGTGTTTTATAAAGTCAATTCAGTGAAGAACAGTTTTAAATCACTGACAGTACTGAACAGTCAAACTAGAGAAACAATTAAATATTAAAGAAACAGATTTTTACCGGTAACTGTCTTATTCTTATGTATCTATTTTAAACAGCATATTGTATATAATCTATTTTCAAAATATCTACTGATACTTTCAAATTACTCTGGATTGAGTATGACAATCTACAAAATAGAATTTTAAAAGAAATTCTATTTGTGAACGTAAAATAGTTTCAAAGCAATGCATGATATTAATTTGGCTACATATGATGTTATATACAGGTCACTTTAAGAAGTATGAGGTAAAGAGAGAGGTCCTGAACATTCACTTTAGGTTAAACAGTGAAATGATGAACATAATACAGAAGATAGGACTTCATGATAAAAAGAGTACATTGCAAAAGACCAAGATAATTTACTCAAGTTGAGGATCTGAATTGAGTTGTCTCATAAGAAAAAACTGGTGTATTGCACAGTGGTCAATATTACCATTTGTAGCATGTCACACTCTCATTAGTAATCATATATCGCCTAATTCATAATAGTTATAAATTAACATAAAAATTCTGTCACTTCTCCATCTGCAAGAATTTAATATGCTTCATTACACATTGATTCAAATTAACTATACACAGTGTAAAACTAACAACCTACTTTGTAACCTCCGTGTGGGGCTCTCGCCATGGAGTTGTCTGCGTGGCAAATATGGTGAGGGGTGGGGAAGTGGCAATGAAGAGACATCGTGTGTTTGAAGTTTGTACCAGTGAGGTTCATCATCTAGTAATGCTGTTTCTAACTCAATAAGAATCTAAAAAAGAAAGAATGGTTAAAAGTAGGAAAGCATTACATGATGGAATATTTTAAAGTAGGTATATTCATAAATGTTATTCTATTATTCTCTTACTTTGTCTGAAGTTGTATGAAAGTCTTGCATTTAATATGAAAGAAGCTCCTGTGCCTTTTACAACACCAAATACAACAAAAACCTTTCACAAAACCTTTGTTACCTTATGACAGCCTTTACAGTATTCAGATATCTTGTAGCAAGTTAGTGAGCGACATACCAAAATTTTGGTAAAATACAACTATGGCTAATATGGATTTTAATGAACAACTAGAATTGAGAAACCATGTTCATGCTGTTACTAAAACAGAACAAACACAAAAAGAATCTCATATCTGTAGTATGTGATAAGTGCAAGATCACTGTTTACTACTAAGTGAAAGAAAGAAAAATATAACAATAAAACAATTTTGCTTTGCATAGTCAGTAACTTTTTCAAAAATACTGTATCTATACATGAGTACATGAGCAACTGTATTTCCATATAGTAAATACCAATACTTGTATACCTCTCCTAAAAATTCACTTTCTTCCTCTCGAACTCGTGCTTGGTCCCAAAGAGTGATTTCTAACATTCGTTCTCTAAACTCTCTCCGATGAACTGGAGAATAAATAAATGTCTGATTCCACTTTGGTTCCAATGTTTTCTTCACTGTTTTTGTTCTTCTTTTATTTTTATCACTGAAAAAAACAGTTAAATATTAAATATGTTCAAAATACCATTATACTGTAATAAGTATATCATGGAAAATAGGAAATCTTAAATCAGCACTTCAGTTTGTAGGATCATGGGTACTATAATCTACATTAGGAATTTTCCTTTATTGTAAAGTTCAGTGCATATATTGAGGATAATTCATAATTTCCTATTAAAAACTAAGATTAGGTGATTTCGAGTTCACATGCCAATTCAAATTTTAAGAAGTTCCCTGAAAACCAGAAATGTTTTAATGTTTTTGTTGGGTTTTGGTGGCTTTTTTCAAAACAGTATTCTATAAAGCAAAATGTACTTCTGTAAATGGGATTTTCACAAGGTACAGTCTGATAGCAGAACATATATGCTGACAACATCAGGCACAGCAAAAATCTGCATTTCAGAAAAATGAGCCAGCTGGTTCACTCAAGCTTCCAGTCCTACAGCAGCTGACTCCAACTGCAGAGCAGGAAGGAGCAGCTGGCCCACACGAAGGAATGGTCAGGGAGCTTGCGGCAGCGCATGGCCTTCTCTGCAGGGTTTCCTGACTAAAGACCCCAGTTCCACAGCTGGGAAACCAGAAGCCCTGAAAATGAGTTACATATTCTTTTACAGCAACACTGGAAGGAACAGTGTTCACAAAACAGCTCCCAAAATCTTTTGATGACTGCAAGGAACCACCCACATGAAGGTGCACTTCCACTACAAGGTGAGGTCTCCATGCAGGCCACCACGGCAGTCCTGGCTCTGGCTCCAGGGTGTTGTTGAAAGCAGTCTTTTGCAGAATATTTCTACTTGAAATAATTAATATTTTCTGATGGAAACAAATTTTGCTGGAAAACACCCATATTCCTTCTACTGAGAATACTGACAAAAGTTCTCATAACAATGCCTAATTTTAAACCTGCTGATTGCTGCATAATGCAGCTGCCATACTAATTTATGAGGATTTTTTAATAAGTAATGCAGACACAGTCTGTTTTTTAATACTTGCAACTTTAATATAATCATTGTAATTTTGAACTGTTACTTAGAATCTGGATCAAAATATTAACTGAGAAATAATATTTTTAGACACACTGTTAAAAAAAATTAATAAAATTATTTCTATTATACTTAGGATTTGTTTACCCTTGCTTTAGGGGAAGTTTCCAAGGTGCACATGGGCAATCTCAACTGAGTCCCCTTCAGCCCTATCACTTATCACTTATACTGTGATAAGAAATCTGTGGGTTTCAGATGCCAAATCTGTTTCTGCTTTGTTGTATAAAGGTGAGACAAACCAAACTGCCAGACCCATCAGTCCAGAAATCTGTGAACTTTGCATTTTCTTTGCACTAAACAGAAATAGCACTCATAGGAAATAAGGGCATTATAAAACACTAACAACATTCTTTGCAAATAACAGATCCTCATTCAAAGACATACGTTTACCTTTCCTCTTCTACTCAGTATTTTACAGTATAGTCAGGGAAAGCAAGTTTGTGCATAGTGTTCAAAGACATCTTGCTGTAACCTAGCATGTTCAATACAGGAACTCCAAACTGTACGTTTTTTCCATGTATGGCCAATAAACTCAGCTGTGCATGCCACCTGAGTATCAGACCAACTCTTATTCAAATGTTCCTTGTCTTTGTTTTCACCCTACCTTCTGTCTGGAAGAAAGTAAATTTTAACATAAGGATTCCTTGGCCTCCCATCTTCCCTTGAAGGAAGATCCTTTGCTCCCAGTATTGTCACTATTAGCTGATGACCAACCTTGTCATACCACAGTTTTATCTGTAAGGAGAAAATATTAATTAGTGAACTCATTTCTACAATGAAGTAGTATATTAGTCCTTATAAATAAATTTGCTCCTAAGCTTCTATTTATGTTGGTTACTTTAACAGAAAAATATTATGTTCTACTTTGTATTCATAACAAAGAATAAAAATAAGCTAATACTGTAAGAGCTTCAGTATGTACCTGGAGCTACTCTTTTTTTTAAACCCCTGTACAATAAGTGCATTATTTCACACTAATGGTTTTTCACATGGTGCTCTGGTTAGGATTATTCTCTCTTGTATTGTATTACTCACGTTACTAATGTATAATATGCATATACATATATTTCTGAGGAGTTTATGCACAATGAATGAATTAATTTTTCACATCCTGTTGTGCTAAAAAGACTATAGGATACGACCATAAATATTTCATATCACGAAATGCTTTTCAAGATGTATAGATTTATGCTGACATCAGATAAGCCCTCCAGAAATAGTAAGAGAGGGAGTCCAACCCTCTTAATAGTCCAACTAAGCAACATGGTAAAAACTACTATTAATCATCTGTAGAAATTATTATTAACCAGTCTTAGGCTTGATCTGCTATTCTTTTTCACTACAGTCACTAGAAGCTGCTATTTATCTATCTTAGTTTGAATTCTATGGCTGCAAATACATCTGTCAAGGAAAGAATATACGTACTTTAGAGCAGTCACTGCAGAAGGGGGAAATGGTGCAGTTAGAACAAAACAAAGCCTTCCAAATAGCCAGGAAGCCATGACATGGCGGTAGCACTGCAGTCATTAACTACACCTTACAGAGGAGGCTCTCTTCATGCAGACTTTGCCTGAGACACGGGACAAACTAGGACGTTTAAAGAAAACACAGACCCTGCCTGAACCTAAGGGAATCAAAGAAGATAATGCCCAACTGCACACCTAACCAAGCAATACACCTTCAGGGAAAGAATATACCCTAGCTAAGATAGACATAACCAGGGGAAGGTGCACTCAGAGACAGGATTTCCATCTGCTGTCATAGCTCCTCATCTTCAGCATTTCAGTCTCTTAAAGAAAGGTCTTGATATAATTCTCAAGACTTCTAACCCACAAAGAAGGGGCTGATTTAGCTTTCTGCCATTCCTAATACTTCACTAAGTGAGACTACATTAATACACGCCAACTCAATCATTGGTAGGAGTGTACGTCTTCCCTCCCCACTCCTTCAGATCTTGTAATTCCTGTAGTCATCAACCAAAAGTGTTTGTATGGATATTAAAAAAGAAGGGGACACCTGTCATCTATTATCATGTCATTGGCCCTACTATAGATTTTATAGGTTTCTGGTACCAACAGTTAAAATGCTCTGTGGATACTAGAGCAAAAAGCCTTGTGAGAAATTATCCTTAACATGTCAGATTTAAGAGACTTTTAAACACTGTTCCTACATTCCTGCAAAGCAAGGGGCTTTGACAGTATTTTTTCTAAACTGTGAATTATCTGGACATCTAGGTGTCTCCAACCAACTACAGATCAAAAGCAGAAAGCTTTGTACACACAGTATAAACCCAAAGCAATGGATTAATGACCTCTGAAGTGCAAGTCAACTTAAATGTTCTCTGACACTGTATCCACCCGCAGGCTTTCTTGGGAGTCCTCAGGCAAAAGACAGACTTGGCTAGTCCCACATCCCAAGTGGAATAGCAGTGAAGATAATCTTCATTTGCTTTTTTGGGAAAAATTATGCTTGCTTAAGTAGAATGCAATATATTTGTGATACAGACACTATCACAAACTGTGACTGAGGGATGTGAAATAATCTAGACATAGGTGCCAAAAATACAACCAGAATTGTGTGTTCATATTCAAACTAAATATTTCTTCACTATATTTGTTTCTGACTGAATTTTTGCATGAAAACTTCAGTCAAAATATTTAGAGAATTACTCTAAGCAGAAACTGAAATCAACTCACACCATTTTTCTGAGATGCTCTCAAAATTGTATTTTGGAACAAGAGCTCAAAATTTGCATTGACTTATACCTTCTAGTTTTCTCTTCATGTTCAGAAGAAAAAAATGGGAAACACTTGTACATAATGGACAAATTTTCCCTGAATTTCCCTTTAATTTGGCTTGTTACAGGAAAGGTCAGGAGTCAGAATTTTGACTAGAGGCTTTCTCTCCTCTATTCATACTTCTAGACTCCAATACACATTACAGGCACTTGTACTCAAACGGTCATTTGACTAGGGTGCAAGGAGAAGAAAGGAAGATACTGCAAGAGAATGGTCAAAGAACCCCATAGAGGGGAGGATGGGATTGCATTCTCACGGGGTTAGAAGAAGGAAGACGGGACAAATCAAAAACTGCTTTATAATTACTGAGAAAGTAAAATATACAGAATACTTCTTGGTGAAACACAGGAAGAATGGAGCCACTAATGTCAGGGACCAGAGAAGAACAGAGGGGCAAAAATAGACTGAAAGAGAGAAATGGCATGAGGTGACAAAAGAACCAGTCATGCTGTAACTGGCACAAAAGATGTTGAAAGAGAGACTGGGATGAAGGAAAATCTGACAAGAAGTCAAGGCAGGAAATTGGAAAGGAAAATGAGAAGTAAGGAGTTAGATTAGCCTACTGAATATGATAGATGAGTTTAAGAATATGACTGATCTAATTCTGACTCTCCTGTGCATAAACATTATGACAATATTTGGATGGTATGGTATTATCCTACAAGAACTTCTTCTTTCTACTCATAGAGAAAGGACAGCCATTTATGACAGCCATGTGCAGTCCAAGAGGACTGGATTCCATCCCTTCCACTTTCCCAGAGCTCTTGTGTATCAAAGGGTGCATCCCTTTAAGATATTTTGAAAAGCATTTACAATTGCATGTTCTTTGGTGTCTAGAAGCTTGGTATGAAATCCTGGACCCTGATTTGTGTGCTAAGTAAAGCACTGGAATTGAAGTTTGAGGTGTTTCTAATGTTTGGACAGAACCTGGTTGTCTCAGACTCTGATCATATTTTCTCAATTCCTAATCTATAAATACAGGACAATCCTAACACATCTCACAGTACACTATAAATGTTTCACGTTGTGAAATAAACACAGGATAGCACACATATAACAGAAAAGTTGATGAAGAATTTTTTTGTTTGTTTGTTTTATAGCTTTGTTAAGTTGTAGAAAAAATGCCTGACACCAAAAAGTAAAGAACATAGAGTAAAAGTCCGACAAAAATGTACAGGTGTAATGGTCAGCAGTGAGAGACTTAAGTAGCTGACCAACAGCACAGAATCTACATAACCTCAATTCAGCAATTTTTTACATACATACGTTTAGAAGCTTAGAAGATCTAAGAAACTGAAGCAAAGCAATTCTTATCTAAACTAAGGAAAGGGAAAGCTAAATTTACAATACATAAAATGTGCCACAGAAAAAATTGTGCTGGCTAATGCTAATCTGGAGGCTAACACCTGTAAAAATTCTTCTTGAATAGGACATCGTCTATCTAGATTATTTAGGATGTAGGCAGCTAAAATTCACTTCGAAAGTGATCCAACCTGAATGCTTTCTGAAGATCTTCCCACTTAGCAGTGAGATCCTGGAAACTTATTTGCTACTCACATGCTCATATACTTTCCTCCCCTAGGCTCCTTTGCCAGCCAGACATGCACTTAATGCTTCACTAAAGCTTCTGCTGTAACCTACATTCAGACAAACAGGCATCTAAATTCAACGCATGCTGAAACTGTGAGATGGTCTGTTATTCACAGAGCAGTGCATCTGCTGCACTCCTTGAGACAGGCTTCCAGGTAATAACTGCCACACAGAAGGCAGGAAATAACTTCTCTGCAGTCAGATGATTGGGGGAAATGGAGTTGAGGGTCTGGTCTCAGCTTTATATAATTCTTTCTATTTCTTAACTCATAGTGGTCTAATACAAGAGCAGTACTCATTATGGGTAGCAGATCTGGAACCCGCTATGCTAAAATTAAGCTTGCTTTGATAACACCACAAACTTATATTCCTAATCAAACAGTATCTCAGCTTCAGATGAGACTTCTCACTCCAGAGAAGAAAGAGATGTGGAATAGCTTGATGATAAAGGCACTCTTCTGAGAGACAGGTTCAATCTCTCCAGTCTAAACAGTATTTAAACAGCAGATGTCGTGTCTCTGGAATGAGCTTACTACACATACAACAGTATACAAAAGCTGACTGCTGGCATTGCATTCTGAGAAGGGAGGATACAGTTATCTAGTATATATAGTATTCCTTTTTCACAGAATCACAGAATAGGAAAGGTTGGTCCTCTGTAGCCTCAGAAAATGCCTCCTGGAGAATCAACTCACCCTCTGGAGTAGCCTAACTTTCAACTAGCATTAATGGGGTTAGTTGCCTTTTATTTGGGTTGATCACTCATGCATGCATTGAGGTACTTAGTTCCTCTCTTTAACTGTACGAGTCAAAGATCCTCCTTAAGGTACTTCAGACTTATTTGAAGCTAGTATAAGCTACATAAATTAAGGACATAAATTCAGTTTATTAGACACTCTGCCCTGCAGCTTAATTTTTACCACCACAGCCTGCTCAAACATCACTGAGTTTGAGAGAGATTTGGCCAGATATTTTTGTTCTGTTGCTCATTATAATTTTACATGTAACCTACATAGTTGTTTATTAGTATAATATTTTGAAACTGAGATACTACATTCTTTCTCACATTATTCTGAAATGAGATATACCAGCAGGACATGTTGTTGAAAAAAAAAAGAAATCTCAGTTTATTTTTAAAAATGCATACAGTAATCATTTTACTGGACTTAAGCTTATGTAGATTGGAAGCAGCACAGCTGAGATAGGCTCTGGATGTTGTTAAGCATACCTCTAACAAATTCTGACTACTGAGGGTTGCTAAATCAAACTATTATTGTTATCTGCTTTAGCTGCCATCTGATATGATGGAAAAAGTACAAGAAAAGGCTGTCAAATGGAAAAACCTGTATGATGTTCTGTATTAAAGCAAAAAGGATGTCTGAAATTTTTGAAGTTAGAAAAAAAACAGTGGTCTCATGGCAACTGTGGCTCAAAAAGAGGCTCCACCAAGTAAACAAGAGATACTGCATAGACAACACAAATGTAAGAACAGATTGTTCCCTGCAAAGATGTCACAAAGCATCACTTTGCAAGTTCGAAAATTGCTGGTATGCTAAATTGAATCTAGAAGTTCAGGAAATAAATACTCACTTTTCCAAGTACTGTGAAATTAGTAAAAGATGAGAAGGGTGTATGATAGGGAAAAAAAAAGGATTTGAGTGTTTTTCTTCCCCCCCAAAAAATGATGATTCTATGAAATCATCCAGTGACACAAGAGCTTGAAAACTAATGGAATGACAGAGACAAGTGTGAGAGAGGAACTTTTGCCAGAAAGGATCAGTTTTAGACCATCAAGTAAAGAAGATACAAGCAAGAATAAAGATGTGCATCTCCTGTTCAGAGCGATGAAACAAATAGGTATAAACAGAAAGTTTGGAGATCCTCATTCTGGTAAGCAATTCTACAGACACAGCTATACCACAGCCCACAATGAAATGTATACTTCCTGACAACTGTAAACAGCAGCTCAGAGCTCTGAGTAAGTGAATTTGTCATGCCAAAAAGTAACCAGAATTCTGCACTGCTGCTGGACTGCTTGTTTAAAGACTACTGGAGAATTCCTGTTCTTCTCTGCAGTCTGCATGATTAATATATCTTACATTAATCCTTTTTAGGCTACCTACCATCCCTTCTAAAAGTGGACAAATGGATGACTTTTTGTTTTAATCTAGTTGTAAAGATATTGCCAAGGTCATAAGTTTGAGTTTTTCAGGAACTTTTGTCAAAAACCGTATGTTTAGCTCTGACTGTTACTGAGCTTTAAAAAAAACAAACATTAGAGAGGTCCACAAGGACTCCACGGGCATTGTGTAGAAGCAAAATTGGGGCTAAAGACAATTCTTACCTACAATATCAAAATAATCCAACCAGAGGTGAGATAGTAAGCCTCATACACTTTCAGTTCTTGTTGGATATTCTCCATCAAACATTATATTTCTTCTATTTTCTCAAATGACTACCATAATCATTTGAACAAGGTAATTTTTTTTTCATTAAAGGATATTAGTCTAAGTAGAACGGACAATTTTTATGTGTATTTATTTTATATAATATGATTAAAATAAGGCACTACTACATGTTATTTCTACATTACAGTATTTCATGGACATGCAGGTTTCAAGAAGATGTTTCCTTTTTAAATTGAACAATCAACTGTCATATCATTTCTTAATTTATTTAGCACATATCTAAAAAGAAAATTAACATTGAAGACTACTTATGTCATATACAATATTTACCTCTATGAACTACTTAACAGCTTGTGATTGTACCCCTCTGACTTCACTATCATGAGCAGAATCTAACTTTCTTAATCATGCTAGAGGATATTTTTAATTTTTCATACAAAGAGAGTTTATTGCAATAGCATATAATAATATATTAACCTTAAACAATACTATCAAGACATTACTTTTTTAATTTCTTTTTTCCCCTTAGATTTCTTTCTTTTGAATTTATATTTAAGCAGTTGTAAGGATTACTTTTCTGAAAAAGACGAACTTTATCAAATACGAGTCATATTTGATATCTTATTTAGATTCATATTTCCAATCCCTTTATAAATATATGTATGTATGATCACTTTTCCATTTCAATATGAAATTTGGTCATCTCATTCTGATCACTTAGGTCATCCTTTACATTTTTCCTTAAGCAATTGATCAAACCAGAGAAGCATTTATACATCTCCCACACAAAAGATTAACAACTCCATAAAGATATTTTGTAAGAAAAGCAGATAATATACTATTTACAAAAAAACATGCAGTAAAGCAAGATAAGCATTGTAATATATTAGTAAAACCTACTTTTGCATTAATCTATAGTACCTTAGGAGCTTCCTAATGAAAAAGGCAAACAACTTGTACCTAAACAGAATATCAAACCAAAATAAATTCAATAGCACAATGAGAGAATTCATTTTTTATTCAAGTAAGGTTTTGATTATTTTGATGTACTTTAAAATGCAAGAACCAAGTTTCATACACAAGAAATTTGTTTCTTTAAACAAGGTACAAATTTTTTGCCCATCTTCTACTTGAGGCGCTACTATTATTTGGAAAATGCAGAATGTATGTGTTAAGTAATGAATGATTTAAAGAGACATTCATCTTTATATAATGACCTCAAGTACAAAATTATTTATTGCTTAAACAGTACACAGATTTTATATGTGGGATGCATAGCCATCGTCGCTATTGAAAACTGTATGAGTTCAATATTGGGCAGAAATCAAACAAAAACTAGTTGTCTCTTTAAATTTTAACTTAATATTTTCACCCCCATGCAGAATTTTACAGGCTGCTCACAAGATGACATGAAAGTTGTTAATATGATTTAAAGAAACACACTCAAAATATGGGAAAACGGACTATAATGTAACGTTTTCCTGCTATGCATTTTCCATAACAAACAAAAGAAAAACCCACAACTTTAGTCTCTGTCAGGCAGACGAAGTCTTTACCTGAACCCTAGGAACAAAAGGCGTTGTTCTTCTACTAAGGCTTTGGCTCTGGTAAGCAAAATTAAAGAAAAAGCAATAAAACAAAACCAAAAAGGACAACACGCTGGAAACTAAAAGACCAAAAGTAAAAACAAAGACACACAACTATTACTTTAAACACAGCTTTACACCAACAACATATTTATCTAACACAAAGTATTTTAGTGCAATGCATAAATTAAATCTGCAAATCTGTTACCAAATCATATCAAAACCCTGTATTGGAAATTCTTGCCTAAGGGAAGTCAGCAGGAATTTTACCACTGATTCCCCAGGAGCAAGGATTTCTCTTCACATTTACAATAGATTTAGAAATAACATGTAACAAAAAGAACAGGTCAGCAAAGTGTGATTTAAAAGTGGGGTTGGAAACATAATTTAAGCTTAATCACATCTTTCAGAAAGACTGTAGATGCATATTCAGAGAGAAACAAGCACAGTACATGCACTGACAGCTTTGGTTGCTTTGTAAAGTAAAGCAAGTAAAGTAAAAGGTTTTCTCTTCTCTGCAACATTAAAAGGCATCTCTATTAAAAAACCCTCCTAAATAATTTTAGAACTATTAAAAGAAAGTTAGTGCTCTCTGGTATTAGCATTACCTGGGGGAAGGTACAATCTATGTATTTCAATTCTGTAGCAATCATGACAGAAATGACATATGGTATACACAGAAAACCCTTGCATGAAATGGCATCTAGAGCATTTAGCAAACTGCATAGACAGACACATTTGTAACTCTTATTTCTGTGATGTAACTATTCAGACCACATACGACCTTGTGGTTTCCAGTGGCTACCTCAAGACTACATTAGCACAGGAAACACTCCAAAATACTAATTCCAAGCAACCACTCTCCATCCTTTGTTTAGGGCAACAGCTAATGGAGTGGCACAGAATTGGTACAAAGTATGAGGTGTAAACACGAACCAGAGCACACGTTGATACCTCAGAGGGCCAGCGAGTGGGAGACCAGGAGCACGGACAGCATCTGACAGATTGGAATCTCTTTATCTCCCTGCTCAGTTTTCCTGAGATTATTGCTCTAACTCAAAATGATACAAAGAAGCTCCTATTCAATATTCACTTCCATAAGAAATGCAGCCAAAGCATGGAAATAGGCAGCGTGATGATGCTTCTGCCACCCTCCTTGCTTATTTGGCACGCACAGATGCTGGAGAAATCTGTTCCATAAAATGTGTGAAGTAATCTGTTCTTACACCAAAGCAAGAGGGTAGATAAGAAAACTTGACACTCTGGATCACAGGTTTTGTCTGCTGCGCTCCCTGTGCTCTGTGAGGTGCCCCCCACGATGCATGGGCAGGACTGCAGAGCCAGGTGTATGGGTGCTAGAATGTGACCTACTCACATACAATAAAAGTAGATCTTCAGCTTGCTTCTGCTCCATTTTACAAGGGAAAAACAGATATTCCGGAATTATGCAATCCTAAGAGGGACATCTCTTATGACATATCTCCCACCACACACCAAGGGTCCTCAGCTATCATATTCTGCCTTGGAAATGGAGAGCAATAAGCATCTTGTGTGCACTACCTAGAACTTTTCATGTTTTGATGTTAGAGCAACAGCAATTTAATTGTATAGAGGTAGAAAGGGGAGGGGAAAAAAAAGGGGAAAGGGGAAAAGTTAAAAGGAGTAAGGGAAGTCTGTCTCCTACTAATCTCACCCCCTCAATGTGCTGACATATATGCCCTTCACGATGTACAATAAACACTTTCCAGTATACTACAGATATTATAACTATTATTTCTATAACTGTATTTTTATTGCTTTATAAACTGAATATATATGGAAAATCTATTGAAGTGGTCCTACGGTTCAGGTGTACAAAAAACTTGATTAATCTCATCAATAACATCCTTTTTCTGTTAGAATCTCTGGCAGCACAGAAATTAAGTATTGTGATTTTATACTTGGTTCAATTTACATGGTCTTCTAGTTATGTTATTCATTATTGCAAAAGCATTCCAAGTTATACTTTTCATGCAATAATGAAAAAGTAGCCAAAATGCAGTAATGAAGCTAAGAGCATCAACACACAAAGAATACTTTTGACTTTTTCAAAATGATATTAAAGGAAAAACAAGTCAGTGAAAAAACACAGAAACAGGAAGAAGACAAAACAAATAATAATAAAACTATAATTGCAATAACAGTCAAATACTCCCCTGAAAGAACAATGTGGATAAAAAGTGCCATAAAATGAAGAGAATATGGATAAATTATTTCTATACCTTAGTAAGTTATAACACACAATAGTTTACTGAAGTTGCACATCGTTTGTTCAATTAAATATGTATTTGAGCAGAATAATCATTAATGTAAAGAAAATTCCCTATCTATGTGAGATGGCTTACTTTGTTGACAATCCTATTAGTCAGCGTCACTGTAACCTCAGCAGAAGAAAACAGGTACACAGACCAGTGCCAATACAGAGGAAAATATGGAAGATTGAATTGACAAAGACATCCTTGAATACTAGAGGCATCACTGCAGCTAAACTCGCTAAAGCCATTCTGAACACAAAGAAACACATTCCAAAATACCATTAATATATAAAAATCTTTTAAGGATCTATAGCACTGTCTGAATAAGAAAGCATATATCGAAGTATTCTATTACTTCAGACCTCCATCCAAACTGTAGTATCTCCACTTCTGCCCAAAACTCTTGTATTTTGCAACCTATTAACCACAACTGCCCTAACAACAGCCCTTCAGGACTACATGCTATTGTCCAAAAGAACAGAAAATACAGAAAACACTTCCAAAATCTTATCCCTCAGATTCATTACACCTGTCTGAATTCAGCCACCATCACCCAGAATGTCACTGACCTGCCTCTTCCACAAAGAACAGCATCCTGTCCCCCTTTACTGACAGGGTTCTGTAGTTATTCTCCTGCCTAGACACTCACCATAAAGAGTACATTCACAATTGCATCTGGAATTTAGTATTTCCTTTCATTGCTATCTTAATCAGCTATTTGGAATGAATATGTGATCCATCAATCGTTCTGTTAGAAAACAACTGATTAAAACCGAGAAAACCAAAATACTGAAGAATGTCTGTTCTGTAGATGTCTACTAATCTTAGATGTCTAAATTGCAACGTTAGAGTTACAGAGCATTTCTAACTTTAGTGTCAGTCAGCTAGATCTTTGGTTCTCAGTTATCAGCTGTTCTCTGAGGGAAACACAAATATGTAGTAGGAAGTATTGTATGTAATGGCAAACAGTTCATAAGTACCAAATGTAGGAAAGATCTTTGAATGTCTCTTAACATTATTTGGTTTCCTTAGATGGAATTAAACTTACTAGTAAAGATATTTTTATGTTGAAACAAACAAAAATAAATAGAAATAGGAATTGTGCCTTCTAGAGTTAAACAATGAATTTATATGCCATTCCGAGAAATGAAACCTTGGGATTTCTGTTATTCTCAGTAAACCAGAACATACCTCCAAATTTCCCAATACTGCAGTGTCCTATCAAACAACTAAATCAACAAACTTACTGATTTTACTAGTAAATCCTAATCTTAAACTCATGAAGATTTTTATCTGAAACCAAGAAAGTGAGAAAGTCAGTTCTGTGTGGTTCAGATTTGGACCATCGTTCCACAGTGTGTATGCATTGGCCATCTGAGCAGCTAACTACGGACCTTGAATTTCTTGGTGGGAACTAGGCACCAAAACTTTTTGACAGCATAATCTTTTACAAAGTTTAGACAAAAGAAATTTCTTTCCTCCCTGTCTCCACTACCAACAATTTTTGCTGTCTTCTAAAGCTAAAAGGGTTTTTAGAAACCTTGGTCTGTTTATTTTCACTGTTCATGTTTGTGTTCCCTTGTCATGGTGTTTTGTGCAAAGCATTCTGCACTCTACAGTCAAGATTTCTAGTTTTCCATTCATCCAAAGGATTGAGTCTTTCGAAGTAGTTAAGTACAACAGTTACAGAAAATTAAAAATTATGTATTGGTTGTTCTGATGAGCAAACAAATAATGTCTCATGCACTGCAAAATGGAGCCAACACAGGTCACTGAAGAGACAGAAAAATATTTCTGTGAGACCTATAAACAGTCTGCTTAGATTTTATGCATATTTTTATGGCACACACAACATATACGACTTGGAAGTAAAATGAATGTGGAATTTCCAAACTTGTTTAACGCCAGTTTTGCACTGCTTCCATTCCATTTATCTTTCCTTTTCAATGTAAGCTGCACCACAACTGAGCACTTTTGAAAAATCACACTTTGTAATTGTAAATAACATGGAAAGGTGTACAAAACCCAACTTTTTCAGTTTAGAACAAAAAATTACCCTTTAAAAGGAAACATTCATGTAATGAACTTTGTTGTCAATGAGAGTGTAGAACAAAAGTGAGTAACACTGGTACAAAGAATACAACATTAGTAAAATATCAAAGGGTTACTTGGGGAAGGCATATATGAAAGTTAGTGCATAAGAAATGAGCAATATTAATGTCCAAGCACACAGGTAATAAAATCTACTGAATCTACATGTAAGTGTGATATAGTTGAAAAAATGTTTACACTCAACAGTACAAATATAACTGGAGGCCAAAATTAGACCTTTCTGAAAATTTGACTCTACCAGTCTAGCTTACCAGACAATTATACATGTATACACCCAATTCAACTTATATAAAATTTCCAAAAGCTAATAAAATGGAATACACTTATGGCATTATGGTCCCACCTACACTGAGATATATAGCATTAAACAAAAAAATTGAGCTAGTTTAACAAAAAACTTCTGTTAGAGGTAGCTTGCACTACAGTTAGAGTTGTATATGCTGCAGAAAGCACATTAATATCAATTAAATGTTTACATACTGAAAGTTGTCCAGACAAGAACTGTGGAACATCCCTTAACATGCCAGGACTCATAGGAGAAGTCACTGAAATAGAAGGTCGGTCCATTTTTTGAGATTCGAATGAACTTGAACCTGTAATTATAAACAAAAATATTTTATAAATAGTAGCAGTTATGCATTTTTCACAACATTCTTTAAATAAAAATTTTAGAAAAATAACCAAACATAAATATCACTTTTTTAAAATCTATTTAAAATTACCAAATAATGATACTCAGTCTTTCAGTGTTCAAATGCAATCAAAAGCTTTTATTCATAGAATGGAAAATAGTTTATTCAGATATTTCTGACTGCAATTATGTCAGTAAGTTGAAGGCCTAAAATTCCTAAATAATAAACACTTTACTGTGGTCAAAGGAAGTCAGTCTTCTGACTTATTATCTTATATAATCAGACTAAATTTGAATTAGATTTTTACAAAAATATTAAGATGTATGTAATGTTTCATGTGCATTTTGCTTCAAATCTACAAGATCTGCAAAGAGTCAGAGGACAAGTTTTGACGTATAAAACATAGAGCAAAAGTAAAGTATTTTTATAAATACAAAAGACAATCCACATCTCACAAAACATAAAATGAATTTTAATAGTTGGCTGATGAGTAAAAAGTCATTGGATGAGTTTTTCATATTATTACAATCAAGATTATGCCACTTCATTTATTCATGGTTTTTATTATAATAGAGTTCTAAACCAATGATAAAAAATAACTTCAGGCTGAAATCCATCTTCTTAGATTTAAGCCAAAGAACAAGTTATTCTTCCCTACATGAAATACTTCTTTCACATTTTTAATTTATAAGATTCATTTGAAATGCAAAACAACAAAACAGGAAATTACAAATTGCTACTAATGTTCTTATATATTACTTAGAACTATGCTTTTTTTTTCAATCAAAGCCAGTGTAAACTTATGACCAATTGTCAAACCTAAATCAAAATATCCTGACTTTTGATAGCTTATTATTAAACAAGGGTAGATAGATAATACAATCAGATGACATATTGAGACAAATACAGACAAAGAGACAAGAGCTATACTGACTGCAGATGACATTTTCCAATCTATTTGTGCTTACATAAAAGAGAGAGAAGATTTTCCTACCCCACAATTGAAACTTACTGGACTCCAGCTGTGCATGTGTGCTGTCAGGTATTCTGGGAATGTCCCTGAAATCAGGAAAATTAAGACAGGCTGATCCTTTATCTAACAAGCATATTCAAATTTCAGTTACACTATAACACTTCTCAATCCAACATGGAATGCCTCAGGAAAGGTGTATGATCTGGTGGCTGTCTTCAGCCACTGGGATGATTCATCTCTTATCCCAGTATAAATAATTTCAGTGTAAAATTTAATTCCACAGAACACCTGGTTTGGTGAACACAGGAGAAAGGCTGCACAGTCACAAACAAAATAATTCAGTAAATGAAAGAACAATCTCAGAGTTAATGATAGAGTAAAACTGTGAGTAGTAAATCTTATGATGACATTATACATTAATGAAAATTACTGGACCCTCACTCAAATATACTCAACTGCCAATAATGGTTTTCCTAGTACCTTCTTTACTGTCTTTGAACCCCAAATTTCAGTAATCTTACTTTTTCCTTTACTAAATAAAATGTACAAGTTCATTTGGCAGAATTGCTTACTTGAATATACAGGACGTGTTGCAAGACCTGTATTAAATTATGTGCACAGCCATGTAATTTTAAAGCATTCAGTGGCAATGAATGAGCACCCAACCACACCCACACCCTGCCAAGGAACATATTCTTCCTCTGAGGGGTAAATGTTACTGTGTGCTAATAAAAACTATCAATATGATCAATAAATAATTTCAGAGGTACTTGAGCAAAACCAAGCAAGACGAAGAGTTTCAGCAGCAACAATATTTAAAATCAGGAGGTGTGTTTCAGCACAGTTGGTTTCTTCCAGGCCGCGCTGGGTGCTGGTGCCCTGCGCTGGCAGCGGCGGCTGCCCCGTGCCGGGCACAGCCAGTCCCAGTGGCTCCTTGGCCACGGCAGCTGTGCTTCTGTGACAACATACTTAAGAAAGAGCAAAACAGCTGTGTGGCAGCTGTGAGAGAAAATAGTGAGAAAAAAAGCCATGAAAGAAACATCCCTGCAGACACCAAGGTCAAGGAAGAAGGAGGGGGAGGAGGACTGGGCCGCAACTCCCATTCCCCATCCTCTGCACTGCTGGGTGGAGGAGGAGGCAGAAAAACCAGGAACAAAGGAGTGAATTTGAGCCTGGGAAGAAGGGAGGTAAGGATAAGGTGGGTTCAGTTTTGGTTTTATTTCTCACTATCCTATTCTTTTCCATCTTATTTCCTCCCTTTGAGGAGTCCTTCTGTGGAGGGGAAAGGAGAGAGTGAGTGTTTGGTGCTCAGTCAAGATCAACTCCCCGCAAAGGTCAAGGAAAAATGCTTGCAGTGATCTCTATCTACTGTCTCATCCAATGGAAAAAAGAGTCTGTATGATATATAAATAAAACTTATCTACTTCCTTTAGTATAGCTTTTCCAGTATACCTTTAGTATACCTTTTCCAAACATTTTTCCAGACTCACTAGAAAAACACCTGTACTAAGCAGATTGAGTGAGTTGATGCACAGTATTCAATAATTCAAGCAAATCAGAAGGCAGGCAACTGCTCTAAGTGCCCACTGCAGACAAGGATAAACCTCTGTTTTTAGTAAACAAAATTTGTCAGAACTCACAAGGGCTATTGAAGAAGCAAAGATTTAATTTTGCGTATTTGATGTGTGTAGAATTTATAAAGGGATCCAATACTCGCCTATTACTTTAATCAGAAACACATTCCTTAGCTTAACTTGTAATTTCAAAAAAGTATTTCTGTCCTATGAGTTTGAAAATAAAACCATGAAAACATATAAATATCATTGTGAAGAGATTGAATATGAGTTTTCTATAGATAGCTGAAACAATAAGCTTGAAAGCTTTGAACACTGTTGCTAAAGCATACAGATCCCAATATTTCATGGTAGTGTGAATGGTATTCTCACAAGGAACTCTCACTGAGATAAACAGATGTAGGAGAAGCAGAAGTAGTTTTAGACATCTTGCATTTTAAGATACATTTCACTGCAAGCAGATTGTATAGCATAATTATTAAATCACAGTGCACCATTTCTACCAAATTAAAAATAGTAGAAACCATGAAAACAACATGCACTTCAAATTAATGATTTCTGAGAATTAGAAAGCAAAAAATATGTAAGTTCTTGTGTATAAGGAACAGCCGGCTCACACTAATAGCAACTTGGCCATCAATTTAAGATGGCAAAAAGAGGTCAATAGCATGGCAAAATGGAATGTTTTGTGCTGTTGTGTTTTTGTAAAACAGCTTTCCATTTTGTCTGCCCTTATCAGTTTATCTTGTCATTTTCAGTTTTCATAGCACTCAGCCTATGATAAAGAGAACGAAGAATTGTGTTTACTAGAATTTTTTTTGTACTCAGAATATCGGGATGTGACAACAGGTTCTCAGCTAGGTTAATTGGCAGTAACTGAAGACTTCTGGCATGATTTAGTGTGTTGCCATGAGACCATCAACAGACTCTGTAAGTAATAGGATATATCTCAATGCAAAATGAAATCCTTCAATCACGTAGTAATTATTCTAATTGAAATAAATATCACTTCTGACACCTGGCAAATACAAACTTTTAATGATTTTAAATACATTGAAACTTTATTTCCTCGGGCAGAACACAAACATATGATGCTATGCTTCATTGGGCAAGTACAGGGTATTAATTTCTATTGTCCATTCGATTATGAACTGAGATCTTCTAAACTGAGAAGCGAATATGGTCTTTCCAGTTCACCAGCTAGAACCTCATGAAAGACATTTCTGAAGTTGTCAATATCAGATTCCAAATAGTTACACACACCTAACCAGATTCTAAAACCTTACCAATTTGTGCAAAGAATTCATCACTGAGACTCTTTTACACCTACTGCAAAAAGACACTGGGAATCAAATACACTGAACAACTGCTTGATCACTGATCTCTCAGTTCTTCAGACTATGAGGCAAGCCATTAGTGTGGAAGAAGGCAGCTTGAGAGCCCACATCACTTTGTGTAAGGAATTACAGAGGAGCTGGTCTAGTGATAGCAAGTGGAGCACATGGTAACATAACAGAAGACATGATGATAAGGAAGGTAAACAACAGACAGCAAATATAAAAGCACAGGAAAGAATGCAGGAGGTTTCACACAATGAAGAGAATGCAGAAAGCTAAAAAAATTGAGTATTTTCAAGACATGAGTGAAAGGTTCCTTGAAATTTTCCTACAAACTTCTGTTTGAGAGATATTACGAAAGATTTACACCTCTATGAATTTGAGATCTCTTTTTCTGTAACAATATTCTTCTAGTAATGTGGTCTGTCCCTTAGCATTACTATTATACCTACAACTCCCAAATTATGCAAAGGTTTTTAAGGATAGGACAGATGATAGAGGCTTTACCCTAAAGGGGTTGCAATTCCATATGTTTGTGGGAAATAATCTCTCATATCACTGACAAGATAAAACAGTTATTGTTATTATCAAGTTTGTTTAAAATTGTCATGCCAAATTAAGTCCCTACATGTTAAGTTCCTGATGTGTCAAAGATATTAAATTCCTACTATAGCTGAAACAATAACAAATTATCCTCACTGAAATTCCATTCTCATATTATAGGGTTCTAGATTTTTTAGTACTTCTCAGTTTTTAGTTGTTATGTTACCCATGCTTTCATATATAAAGGTATGATAATTGTGTGCATCGTGTACAAATAAAGGGATAAATATATTTATTAAAATATAATTATAGAATCCTTCCAGCCCAGGGTGGAAGTGATCTTGAAAGATCATCTAGTCCAACCTCACATGGAAAAGGGAGCCTAGGTGAGATTACCTAGCACCCTGTCCAGTTGTGTCATGCACATCACAATAAATATTGAGGGGGAAAAAAGAAAACTCTTAACAACTGTAAGTATCTTCAAATTCAGTGATAAACATTCCCCTCTTCACAGCCCTGGTGTGATCAGATATAGAACTTCCAATGGAGCAAAAAAGTGATGGATATGACCTTAGCATGTAGGAACTTGGAAGAAAAAGAACAGATGAAGAAGGGAAAGTATTCACAGACTAATATAACAAAGCTACTATTGCTATGCAAGAAAAATTTAAGTTTAGACATTGAGAGATAGGTTTGAAGGATAAGAAAAATAGTCAATGTAAAGCACCAAAGAAAAAGTCCCAAACAGTCCTAGCTATTCATTCAGATATGTTCTGTAGTAGATAACAAGCAATAATTTAATAGATTCAATAGATGAAGATGATGCAAATTTGGATATAGGACTTTCTGAGGCATATGGATTATGCCATTAGCATACTGTATTTTGTGGAAAATTCTACATTGCTGACTCCCAATAAATAGAGTTCATAATCAGTCCACAGACCAAATATGATCCTATAATTATATATATATATATTATAAAAAATAGAAAAATAAGAATGAACAGTCAAGAATTACAACAACAAGTATAACCACAGTTAAAGAGCCAATATAGGCTGGATCACCAACTGAACAGCCACAGAAGGGAACCCCAGCAGATAATGCCTGAGACTCTTTCAGAGAATACAGGATTTCACACCAGCTCTTTTTACTCACTGATATGATCTATCATTCTAGCTATGCTCTTGGTTTACTGAATTCTGCCTAAAAGTTTTACTGTTTATAATGTTTATGAATGTTTCATATCTCTGCCCTAAAAGGGAAATTTAGCAATACTTTCATCATGTTTAATACCAAAAAATCATGACATTACTTACCCTATTGGTCTTGAAACTACAAGCTCCACTTGTGGCTCAGGTTTGGATTCTAAAATGATGTTATATACCTCCTCAAAAGTGGCTCCTTGTAGTAGCCTTCCATTCCATTCTAACACTTCATCACCTGAAATGTCAGTAATAACACTATGCTTAGGAAGTTTGTTATGGAATGCATTTACAATGACAATTTAAGCCATTCTACTGTCATTTTTCTGGATTGGGAAACTTGTATTGTAGAACAAGTTTGAACTCCTTCATGCAGGAAAATTCTGGGTATTAAAGGTTTATGCTTTATATATGTAAAGTTTGGTGAAACAATAATATTGACAGTAGGACCCCTTTTGAGTAAGATACAGCTCGGACTCACTTTGACAGTTGTGGCTCTTCAGAAAATTCACATCTTTAGAACAGCATATCTCATCAACTTACTGTTTTAAAGATCCATTTACTTCTACAAGTTTAGGGTTCAGATAGTTTTTATGATAATAGTTAATATTTCTTGAACATTCTCCAATCTAGCAATCCATGGTTTGCATGTTGGCACAGAAGCAGCTTCCTAGCCAAGCTGGTTCTGCTCAGACATTTGTAATAGCTTGGTTTGCTCTAAATAAAATATACATCACACACTGACTGGGCAGGATATCAATGGAATATTATCATGAGTAAAATTTTTAAAATAGTTTTTAAACAACATCAGAATATATATATATATATATTTCACAAAAGCAATGGTCTAGTAATTGAATGTCAGGTTGAATTCTGCAGTATTTCATCAGACCTATTTAACATAATTTCATCCCTAATTAAACTTGCTCACTTGTTATCACCTTCAGAAAAGCAAATCAGCAGTATAGATCTGTAGTAGATACATACCTGGTCTAAGATGCCCCACTGTATCAGCTAAGCTTCCTTTCTTAACTTTGGTGATAAATGCGCAGAGTCGACCTGATTCAGTCATCTTTCCTCCTACTACCTGTTTCAAAGAGGAAATATTTTCATAGAATGAAAATTACTTTAAATTACTTAAATGTTCTGGCAACAGAAAGAATAATTCAGTTTTTTCCTTAGGTTTTATGTAGCTCAGATAAGGCAGATGCACTTAGTAAAAACAACAGAATTTTGGCTATGACAAGCTACTAATCTGGAGATTAGAACAATTTAAAAACAATGCAAATACAGAATGCTAAAGCTTTTAAATTTTAGCAAATACATGCATAGTATTTCATTGTATTATAAATTGCCACCCAAAGCATTGTAAGGTGTTGGTCAATAGACTGCTTACTTCAATATTTCTTTAACTGGAAAAAGTTATATTAATATAACAGAACTCACAATGTTCACACTAAGCATCAAACATCTCAATAATTGAAATTCCCTTTGGTTGGGCAAGTCAGATGAAAATACTTGTCATTCTGAATATTTCTCTATGGGAAACTTCAGGAGGTTTAACTTTTTTATCTTAGAATCAGGAGAGTCACTTCAGAATCGGTCGTAACTGCATAATTTTCAAATTCTTAAAGTTTCTGAACAGTCTTCACATTGTGATTTAAAATTTGTAATATTAAATTCAGTTTAGTTTACTTTCAATATGTAAATATTTGAAAATCAAGGTCAGGAATAACTGCTGATCACTCTTTTCAGATGTTTATTGAGATTAAAAAGCAGTGTACTCTTAAATCTGAACTATTAATGAATCTCAGTAAAGAATTCATCTTAATAATACAAGACTTTAGAAATTTTAATATAAATGTTTAAACAAAAAGTGTTTCTTAATGGCACTGTTAGTCGCTTCTCTTACATTTTCTGATATTAAGACAAAAATAAACACAAAATTTGATGTCCAACTGGCTTGTCCACTGACTTCAAACAAAAATATCTGTCAATTAAATAAAAAATTCAAATATTTCCAAAGCATGTTAGTATACGTTATAAGTAACCAGACTGATTTAATCCCTATTAATAGGATATGACTATAGCCTAATCTGCATATCCAAAGTGAAGTAAGAGTTGTGCTAAATAGAGAACGGAAAATTAAAACTTCTTAATAATTTCTCACAACAGGGATGTGGAATCAAAATAAATATATATTTGTTTCTTTCACTCTGTATAATTCATTCTCATTCTTGTACTACTATTTCTGGAACTGCAAATACTAGTATCACACAAAACTGAGATCAAAATGTGAGCTAGAAATAACTTCATAACATTTAAAGAGCACTGCATCATGAAAAAGAGGTGAATATAGGAAAAAGAGGCGAATACATTATTTCATGATAAAAATCAATAAATATTAAATAACTTTCTGGTTTGTGTTTTTAAAATGTGGCAAATCAAACAATCAGAAGAGAGAAAAATCCAGAAAGAGGCCCTTACACTGGCAGACTCTGATCTGTATTGAAATGTCATTAATTTGCAGATGTCCCCCTGGTCTTCAAGAGCGATAATTTATTTTTCACTTTTCTCCTCTCTTTTGGGGAATAGACATTGTACCATGGTGCAATGCTCAATACTGAAGAGCAAAGACAGGACTTGGCTTGCCTAGCAAGGATGCAATTAGTACTTTGCTAAGAACACATTTTCAGAATACTTGTGAAAACACGTCTAGTCTTTCAGAAAAATACAATTTTTTGAGCCTGCCAAGGACCCAGTAAAACTGCTCTAGGTAATTGAATATAAAATGTCTATCTTTAAATGTTGAGAATGACAAGATATTATTGCTATTTTCATGCATATGCTATATAATATGAGAATATTTTTATTACAAAGGTAGTTAGTTTAACCAAGAGAGTAGTTAGTTCCAAAGTTATTCATTACCAACCTTCAATCCAAGCATTGCTCCTGAATCTCTAGGCACACTTCCATCTTTTAGTCGCTTATTTAACAAAATCCGACCAATGAGACGATCTCCATCTTTGGATGGTTGCCAAGTTACTGGATGCTATCATATGGTGTTAATGGAAAATACAGTGAATAGGATTTTAATGAAAAATATTTCAGTAATACTTTTCATTTCCTGATATATTTTTCAAATGCCATGAAAGTATTATGATTACAACAATATTTAATGTAATAGGATGACATAAAACTGTGCTGCAAAATATTTATTTGAATATATAGTTCATTACAATGTATGCCTAATATTTAATAACATTATCTATTTTACTAAATCCAATTTGTGAATATTTAGAATGATCTTTGTATCTTGATTTGACAGATATAACTATACATAGTTATCTTCACACAATGACAATCACACCTGAGTTCTGAGAAAAACAACTGTATAAGTCTAGCATAAGAGTAATACTGGAAAAGAAGTTTAACTCGAACCAAAACTTTGATGTAAAAAATTTCTTCTTTTTCCACTATTACAAACGTGTCAATTTTTATCTGACTGACAAACATATTTAGTGTCTTACATTCTCAGTAGTCGTATTTTAGAAAATTACAACATACACTAAAAGGCATAGTCATTACTTCATTTAAACATTCTGTTTCTTTCTTGGAATAATTACTTCACATGTGAAGCACAGCTACAGTGAACATTATTGTTCCGTTACTACATATGGGCACAGTTATACTTGTATATTGGCATAATTAATAATTTTTTGAGATTTTCTTCTGTGTAATCATAGTACTTTTTCACATAAAAACACTATTTCATGCTCTATTTCATGCAAAATTAGCAGGCACAGATAAATCTGCTCCCATTACAACTAATAACTCTAAAAAGATTTATCATAATCTCCACCAAACAGAAAGCAAAAATAAAATATACCAAAGCAGATGGCAAAGCTTTTAATTCTGCACAATACTGCACAAAAATCGCATGGCAACAAAACAAATGAACAACCATGACAGTGAAAGGGAAAAAAGAAAAACAACTTTTCTGTGCAGAGAGACCCAATTTTCTCCCTTTTTCACCTGGGCTTTAAACTATTAATTTAATTTCAGCCTCAGGAGTTTGAGCATAATAAATCAAATAAGCCAATTGGTAGAATCCTTATTGTTAATTACTTTATGCTTTAAGGTAATACCATGATATGCTATTTTGCAACGATAAGAACAACATTCCTTTATGCCTCTCAATTTTTTTTCTTAGGCTGCCAAACAGTAAAAGCTGCAAGCATGCAAAGACTTTTCATTTGTTTTTCTTTTCTGCACCTTAAGAAATGCTATAATATCTCCAGAAACACCCTATCTTTTATTTTATGCACTATTTTAATGAGTGACAGAGAGCAAACAAAGACCAAATGAGCAGGTTAAAATGCAGGCTCCAAAATCTCAGTACCTTCTCACTATGGCTATGTTCCTCGTTTAGAGTTGTGCTACTACACGTATCTACCCCAGAGTCTTTTATCTGAGGCTCAGACCATTCCAAGTCCTCTTCCAAAGAGTGGCCACCAAAGCACACCATTTTCTTTTGCCTCTCGGATAAGGTGTTAGAATCCGACAAAACTGCCTGCTCACTAGTTTTTCTTTTTCCCTTTTGACTGTCCCCTATAGGTGTGGGATAAAAAAAGGATACAAAAAAGAAAACATGCAAAGGTGTAAATAAAACTAAGGAAATGTGAAATGATAAAGGAAACTAAATGGTAAGGCTCCACATGTCTCACCAAAGACATTGGGGAGGCCTCACTGCTATGCCAAGACGTATGGTCCAACCAGTTGTAATCCATGTCTCCTGTGAGAATCAGACAGACAAGATAGTGCAGTAAAGGAAAGGTGAAAGAAAGGACAGACAAAGACACAGTAAAACTGTAAAGATTTCTGATAATCCTATCTGATTCATAACCTCTTCCAGCTGGACTTGCAAAGGGCTTCCAAGAAAAAGTTAAAGCTCCAACAACAGAGTATATGGAATATGAAAAACATTGAGGAAGGAGAAAAGTTTGTGTGTGTCTATGTGTGCACAAAATTATGTGCAGTGTAAAGCATCATCGATTCAGAGTTTTTAACTATCCCTACAAAGTTACTTACAGTAAATTAAATGAAAAGGTAAATTGTATTGCATTTCTAAGGGGATATTCATAAGGGAAAGCATTTGAATAAGGAATGAATTTTCATTACAATCTAAAGGAACCATTCTGTCTTAAGGAACGTATTTCTTTACTTTTCTAACACAAATTAGTATTTATTCTAATCATTTCATAAAAATACTTAAAGCAATGGCACTCTGCATTCGCTGTACAGTAGATGACGTTTCAAGGAAGGTTAAATGAAAAACAAATCTAGAAAATATATTTAGAATAAAAAGCATATTAATTTTGCTTTGTCTACTGGTTAAATATCAGGAAGAATTCTAGTATTGGGAATGTGTAGCGTTTTGACAAAATTAATAAATATTTTATAGAATCAGAATTTAACCTACATGGTAGAAAGAAAGGTTTGAAAAACAGTTTTAAATTAAAGGCCCAAATTAATGCTGCTGTCCATAGAATTGGGGAATGACTCGTATTTTAATAAAACATTCTCTTTCATGTAGATACTTTCAACTGTAAATTATGCCCACACATTTTGCATAATTAAACTTCTCTTTTTTTCCTCACCATTGTTACTACATGTTACATGAAAAATATTTTGTTACTATATGCTACAAAATATTTTTATAATACTGTATGCAGGAAACAAATGTTTAGTTTTCTATCAAATTTCATAACGAAAACAACACTAGAGCAAAGTAGCTCTGCTCTTTTAGTACAGACCACAAACAATATTTTTTTATTTCCATTACTTCAGATCCTACTTTGACATTACTCAACCTATTCCTTTGGAACTACACCACTGAGGTGGTGAAATGTAACTAACAAGTCTTTAGAAAAGTAAAATATAGTCCCCTGTAGGGATACATGTACCATAAAAAATATACTCTTTCTTCACTTGTTTTCTCCTAATATATAGACTTGCATATGCTATATGAAAAGAAAAAAAATCAAGTCTCATTCTCATTTTCATTTTAAAAAGGAAATATTCAGAATACAAAGGCTTTATTTTCAAAAAGACACTCTGAACACTTTGTCTCTTATGCGTAGCAGAAATATTCTAGTGTATAAAATAGCCTTTTCTTTCATAAAAACACTGTTAAAGTGACCTCATAAAATTATTTTGAAACCCTAATTCATTTATATTTTCTACGTAATACTTAGGTCTGCTGTAAATCTATTAACTATGCTTCTTGATTCTTGAAAGGAATTTTAAAGGAATTTAAAAATGGGAAATTCATAGCAAAACCTCTTTGCCATGCATGTTAACATCTTGACTGTATTATAGATAAAAGCATGGTTATCCTGCTAAAGGGGAAAGAAATATTCTTCTGAAAGCTAATAACATTTTGCTAAATGTACTTCTTCCTGGAATTTCCAGTCTTACCTCTGCCTCCAGACATTGCTTCAGGGGTACTGAGTGAAATCATCAGTGAGTTTATGAAGATCTAGCTCTTCCTCATAAATATACATTTAGAGATAACCAGACGATAGCAAGAGTTCCAGTCTATGTATTCCCTATTTTACATATTACCTGGGGCCTTTAAACATTAGTCCCAGGCTCATCTTCTGATGTAACTGATTTCTGCTTATGCCAAGAGTCCTGTCACACGGGTATTAATGTATGGTCCATCCACACACTATATGTGTTAAAGATTAGACACATTTAGCCCAGCACACCCAAGGCATTAACATATAGAGATTACTTATATTTTTAAAAATTCAGTTATTTTGCAAAAACATTTACTCTTCATCAAATGATAAGCCCTAACCTAAACCCACACAGAGGAAGACTCGCAAAGTTGAACCTCCCACTTCTTGCTCTAACATTTTCCTTTCTCTTTTTCAATCAATATGCAGAAAGCTCTTTGTTTTTATTTTAGTTGTGTCTCATTTAGTGTGAGTAAATACTAATTATTTGGTATCTATAAAATGAAAATTAAATGAAAATAAGTAACAACTCTATCCAAAGACTTTTGGTTTTATCTGTATTATTTTCTCTATTACCATATGTAGTTCATATGTTTCCAAAAAATTGTCCTAGAAATTAGAAATTACAAAGTCCTTGTAGATCTTACAGATTTTGCCCTTAACACTGCATTAAGTGATCTAAATGACAGGCCTAAATAGTACAAAAGTTAATAAAGGATGGCTGGATGGAAGCCCTGTAGCTTAATACATTTCTATGAGAGGTATGTATGGTTTAGTATAACCACACCTTTTGAGTTACAATGAATGGCTTGATAAAATCCCTGGACATAAATTTTTCAGTACAAGTCTGTTAAATATTAAAATCTCGTCTAGGTAAGTGATTTTTGAAATCCTGTTCTTCTTCTTGTTTGCCTACAAGAAAAATTGTTAAACCAAAATCTTTCTGTAACAAAGACACGGTAGTTTTAATTGTGAGTACCAGAGAATGCACTTGCTGCTCTCTTAGATATTTCTCTTCCACAGTAGAAGATGCCTTATTATTAAGAATATGTACATTTAGGTTATGAAGCAGTAATCACCCAGGAAAAAAATACCACCTCCCTGATAAACTATATAAGTTATAATATCAAAGCCATCTTTCATGAAAAAGGAACTAATATATTACTAAGCAAGATACAGTCTGAGACAATGTCATTATAAAAGCATTCAGATGCTTCATGAGTCCAGGAGTGCAGCTGGATATCAGAAAGGACATATGTGAGATCTGCTCTTATTAATGTCAATGAGCTCTATTTGTATGTGGAAAGTTTGCATGAACAAATCAGGTTGGGAGAAAAATCACATCAGTGGCCTAGCTGTTCTGTATAAATGGTGTTAAGCTGAAACCTTTGTAAGCTTACTGATGTTTGGTTTGTTTTACTTATTTTCTTTAGACAAAACCAAACAGGCAGAGGAAAATATTTTCCTCTATATCCAGGAACCCACAGCAATGGGACCTTCCTATAGCAATGGGAACTTGAAATGTCAGTGTATATTTTAAAAGAATTTCAGTTAATTTCTGTTTCCCCTATATTTTAATGGTTTGGGTTTGGGTTTTTTTTCCTTCTTAGAATGGTTTTCCCACACAGAAATATGGTAATTGAGCATCTTTCATAAGACATTAAGGAATTTGCATGTAATCTACATGGTATGTGTCTACTCTTTGAGTGTTGTCTAAGTTCATGATCAAGTTCAAACCCATTTTCCAAATAGTTTAGACATAAACCACTAAATTTAATTGGCTATTCTACATATACAGTCATTTTGATGCTCTAGGGTGTTCAAAATCTTCACATAGGATATAAGAATGACCCAAGCCCTTTCTAACTAACCTTAGTAAACTGAAAACATCATCTTGCTTTGAACCAAATAAACCAAAAACCTTTTCTCAAGTTCAAATCTCACTGCCAAAAAAAACCAGGTCATATAACTTTAAATTCTTCAACCTGAGAAGTCTTACCTGACTGCATATTGTATACTGAACACATGCTACATACTGATTAATTGAGCCAATGATGGTACACACATGTCATTACTCAAAACTACAAACAATTTAACCTTGCAAATGAGTTAATACATTTCCCCTCAAAGCTAATTTTCAGCATAAGACTAGAGTGAGCTGAGCACATTCCTGTCTCTTCATCCTCCTCTTAACTGAAAGGCTCCCAGTGCAGCCCTGTACCAGAAGGGCTCTGGAGAGAAGTAAAAAGTGGACTACAGTTATTGAAGAACTTTCATTTAAGCAGGTTACTTTTTGTGCTTGCAGTACTATCCATCTAAACTGCCACACAGTGGGTGACTCCAAAGAGGAGCTACACAGCCAGAATTGCCTGGAGGTGATTATGTGAGAGCTTAAACAATTGCTTTGTCAGCTCTGGACACTTCAGGGACATGCTAGCTTTTGGTGCAGGAACAAATGCAAAGCTGTCTGGTGCATGTAAAGTATAGAAATATTTTTCAACACAGTCACTAATGCAGTTTGAGCACTGATAACAAAAAGAAGCATCTTCTTGCAGGTCTTATAGCAGGCTTTGAAAATTCCTATCATGTGTTTCAACATTTCTTATTGGGAAATAATTATTCCCCTGAATTTGTCAACTTTCAACATGGAACAGCCTAAGAAAATATCCGAAGGATCTGGTCCTACCAAAACAAAAAAAAGAGAAGCTGTTCTTTATGTAAAGGATATGAAATACAGTCTTGACTTTTAATATGTGCAATACAGAGGAATGCAGCAATTAGGAGGAAAATGTATCAATCTTCACTAGTGATAAGGAAACTGTAGAGCATTCTCTGATGTTTGTACTTAGCCCTGACTATGTAAATCAGTAGCAACAATGCTAGGAGTTGTACGTAAAGGCCTGCATAGCCTTACTACAAGGGGCAGGGAAGTCTCAGGGCAACCAGGTAACTAAATGCAAAAGATCTGGGAGGTCTTTTGTCAGATCTCCAAGAAAGCAGACTATGACCTGCAAGTGAGATTCAGTGCTGCAGTGTTTAAGAGAAGTCAAAGATGAAGTAGTGCAATCATGCTTCTATACAGGATCTTGACAGCCATAAGCACGAAGAAAATCACTGTGCACAGTTTAGCAGAGACTTCTGATGTGGAGCTTAGAATACCTAGCAGATTGTTGTAATAAGTAGGAAAGTGTCCCTCACCTGAAAAGTAGAGACACCCACAATCACCTCAGGTAGTTTTGGATTTCTATATCTAAACCAGTTACTCTTGTCT